TGTTGGGTTGGATTGGAAAAATATTGAGAAAAATAATATTGAAATAAAACTTACATTTTCGTATAACCTAAAAGTGTCAAAAAAGATGTTAATTTAAAAATTCCCGGAAGCCGTATTTATTGAAATTAAGGAATGAGACTTATTTTAAATTAAAGCTCAATGCTTTCTTTTTAAAATGATCTGTAATAATCACACCTAATAACCATTTATCAAAGAAATACCTTTTTGAACAACAAAATCCAACAAGACCACTTTTCACTAAACTTCTAACTTCACATCTGGATGTATAAGTTTAAATAGGTATACCTAAAAACCCTACAGTGCGGATTGTGTCATTTTTTATACAGATTCTTTCTTGTATAGACTACAGTTTAAAACGAGTGTTTGAAACTAGCGGTACTTTAAAGTACCGTCGGGACACAAAGGGTTAAAACTTGACAAATTACTTTTGAAATTTATTCATATTTCGGAGGTAGATGTGTACCTACAATAACAATGAGTCATATCATGATCCAACACAAAATATATCCGAGTTATGCGATTACTTAAAAATTAAGGCGTTGAATAATCAAATAAAATTCATACTTCTAAACATTTATGAGAAGTTTTTTAATTAAAGCGAGAACACCGGTAATACTTCGAAGTTAACAAAACTCATTCAAGAATGTGTGGATAAAGCATTCCCACATTTTTCTTCATTAATGTGATTTTACCATTTATTTAATGTTTTAATAATCAATTGTATTTATAGGAACCTCCAACAAGAGGTGTGATACGCCCTTTAGGCCGAACTCAATCATCCCCTTTACCTCTCGGCCATCCACTTTTAGATGGAGTGCAACCACCGCCCTTACCGCCACCTCCACCTATAGAAGAACAAGAACAACGAGATCTTGATTTAAGGGCAAATGAATCGAGAAGGTAAAATAAATAATTAAGATATTTAATTTTTTTTTTATTACAATAAAATTATTATTTTTAGTATACGTCCGTTATCACGAGCATTAAGCAGTCCAGTAGTTCATCTTGGAGCACCGGGTGTAGCACCGACGCTCTCAAGACGACGAGCATCTTCGACACCAACAACCGGCCTTGCTTTTGATAACCAAATGTTAAAGCACGCTTGCGTTTGCGGTAACAACAGCATCCATCCGGAACATGCAGGTCGGTTGCAAAGTATATGGGCGAGACTTTTAGAAACCGGATTGGTGCAACGTTGCGACCGATTAAGGCCGCGAAAAGCGACTCCTCAAGAACTCCAAACGTGTCATTCGGAAGCGCACGCTCTCTTATACGGTACCAGTTCGTTGAATCGACATAAAATGGATATGAGTAAATTATCTTCGTTGCCAGTTACGACATTTGTGAGATTACCTTGCGGAGGAATTGGAGTTGATACGGATACAACGTGGAATGATCTTTTTACAGCGCCCGCTGCAAGAGTCGCGGTGGGTTGTACCGTTGATTTAGCGGTAAGAACTTGGACTGGCGATATTAGGAATGGATTTGCCATTGTTCGGCCGCCTGGACATCACGCCGAACCGGAACAAGCGATGGGTTTTTGTTTTTTTAATTCGATAGGAATAGCGGCGAGGATTTTGCAAAACGAACACCACGTACAAAAAATACTCATATTTGATTGGGATGTTCATCACGGAAATGGAACTCAACAAATTTTTTATGATGACCCGAGAATATTAGTGATCTCAATGCATCGACACGACGATGGTAATTTTTTTCCTGGTACAGGTAATCCGGATGAGTGCGGCAACGGTCCCGGATTAGGTTTTAACGTTAACATCGCTTGGTCAGGCGGATTAAATCCTCCATTAGGTGATGCGGAATATTTAGCGGCATTTCGAACAATCGTAATGCCAATCGCTCGGGAATTTAATCCGGATATTGTGTTGGTTTCCGCTGGATTCGACGCAGCGGAAGGTCATGCACCTCCATTGGGCGGTTATCGTGTTTCTCCGGGTTGTTTTGGGTTTATGACGCGACAATTAATGCAATTAGCTCACGGCCGCGTCGTTTTAGCATTGGAAGGTGGTTATGATTTGCCCTCGATATGTGATTCAGCGGAGGAGTGCGTGCGCGTTTTATTAGGCGATCCACCGTCGCCTATTTCCGTATCAGAACTAAGTAAATCGCCGTGCGCGAACGCGATCGTCGCGTTACAGAAAGTGATCAGGATACAGACGATGCACTGGCCGTGTTTGCAAGAAAGTGCGAAAAGTGTCGCGTGTTCGTTTAACGATGCAGTTCGTAACGAAAAGGACGACAAGGATACTGTGTCGGCGATGGCGAGTCTGTCGATGCAACAACAGGGAGTGGTACTAACTAGGTACCCAAGTCCGAATGTTACGGAAGGCATGGCCAGTTAATGTCGGGCTATCAATAGTAGCAAAAGAAGAAGGAGGAAGGCAAAAGTCAAAACATTCCGGCGGTTCAATTGGCCGCTTTTAACGTTAAGATCAAATTATCGTGTGTTTTATTTTTGTTAATATATTTGAAAGTTTTTAATAAAATTGATTTATTTACTTTTATTAATTTTTTTTTCTTTTCTTTTTTAGGTTTTGGTTATCACTACATCTTATATACAGGAAATCCCATAATTATGACTAAAAAGTCAAGTACTTCACTTAAACAAAGAATGTGAAAAATAATCCTGGATTATGGGACATAAATTAAAAAATAAAACCTCTTAAATATTTCAATGGCATTCATAGATGTCAAACTTAAGCAGTGCAAATCATGGAAATGTTTGTCAACATTAAAGTTATGTACAAGTGTCCAAATTTCGATGGGTTTGCAGCGTATCTCAGTTATTATGAAAGATAGAAAGTTGCGGCTTTGCGGCTATTCGGTAACGTAACAACGGGTTCTAATAGATTTTTTCACGTAGAATCCAATGGTGCACGTAGAATTTTTCTAATCATCACGGTTTTTGAGTTATAAAGAGTTAAGCATTTTAGAAGTTGAGTATTCAGTATTCGAGTTATGTTTATAACTCAAAAACCGCGATGACTAGAAAAATTCTACGTGCACCATTTGATTCCACGTGAAAAAATCTATTAGAATCCGTTTTTACTTTTTTACTAAGTTTCCGAATATCCGAGATACAGGGGTGTCTGAAAATCGTAAATTTCAAACACTCCCTGTATATCAAAAACGAAGAGGGCTATGAAAATTTGGTTTGCGCCATTGTAAGTTTCACAAAAAAGTAGCTCAGATTCGCGAAAGCAGCAACTTTGATGACCCATCGAAATTTGGACACCTGTACACTACAATCCGTGCAAAAAGTCAAGGCCCCTCATTTTAGAGATCGATATCTTCGCAACCGCTCGATAAAAAAAATTGCGACAAAGTTTGCTGTAATCACTGAACATTTCTACGTAACATATGTTAATTTGAAAATTTTCGGATTCACGGTTTTCTTTTTATCGCGAGTTAAGTGAAAAAAGTACCCGATTTTTTACGGTACCGGCAACTTTGTCAACTTTGCGATTTTTTTTCTCGAAAACTATTGCACGAAAAGTTTTGAATTTTGAACAGGTGGTAGCCTGATGTGTTCTTAATGAGTGGCATATTTTATTTTTTCAATATTCCATACAGTTTCGCGGAAATTCGCCGTTTAGTAAAGCCCCCATCGACGGTCGAACATGTTGGCCAACATGTTGGGTCCGAGCGGCTCGGCCAACATGTTCGACCGTCGATGGACGCGCTTCCAACATGCTCGACTGATTTGTTGGGTTGGGCGCTCGGCTCGACAGCTACGGCCAACTCGAGCCCAACACCGAGCATGTTCGATCGTGGATGGTCAACCGTCGAGCGGCTCGAGGAGAATGACGTCAGTTTAGACATCTTTTAATAGTGTTTACACTACATTGGAGTTACATTGGGTTAAAATGTCTTTTAACGATAATAAGAAGGTTTGGAGCGAATTTATCGATATTATAGTTATATTTTTTTGTAGTTAATTAACCTTATATCTGTAATTTGTCTACGAATCTATGTTAATCATGGTGTGCTTACCTTTAAGAAGTCGTCTCTGAGAACATCAAAAATAGCTGTGCACATTTCTGGCACAATTCTGCCAAGCGTTTGTGCCGATATCGCACAACTGAACTTCAGGTTTTCATAGCTTCTACCACTTGCTAAAAATTGAAGTGTGGCAACAAGGCGTTCCTTAACAGAAATGGATTCTCTCATATTCGTATTTTTTTTTTCAAGAAGATTATAAACTCGTTCAAGTAGATCTTCAAAACATTGTTCATTCATGCGTAAATAGTTTCTGTAGTCTTGTGGCTCATTGGTAACTATTTCAGTCAATAACGACATGTGGCTGAAACTATTTCGCTCTAATAGCCACTTCTTGGCCCACAAACGTGGAGGTTTCCTTTTTTTCTTTCTATTTAAACATATAACACCCGCGCATAGAGCTGTAACCGATTCAAGATCCATCGCACAAATGAGATCGTCCCAACATGCTCGATGTAAAGTTCGATCGTGGATGGACACACCCAACATGTTGGGTTCGACGTTGGGTTGGAAGTTGGCCAACATGTTCGACCGTCGATGGGGGGCTTAAGACGCCGTTATGTCGAAAACGGTGGATTATCTCGCGGATTTGACCAAAATACGTCAAATAATGTTGATTGTCGGATTCCGTTACCAGTTTTTCAAAATTAGAGCTCTCTAATTTTTTAATTGTAATGAATTACAAATTAAAGAGAAACAGAAATAAGCTCTGCGAGCTGACGGGTGTTCCGTCCAATCGGAACAGATGGTGCGTCCTAGACAGGACGTCGCGCCTTATTTCTTTATGTAGGTAAGATAAAGGCGCGACGTACTGTCTGGAACACACCATCTGTTCCGATTGGACGGAACCCTCCTCTCCCCGCATAGCTTATTTCTGTTCATTAAATCGCTCTTAAAAAATTAGGGAGTAAATAATAATAAATAACCGCATCCTAACTATAACTATATGGAATATCGAAAAAATAAAATTTGCCCTACATTAAGAACACACCGGTTTACCACCAGTTCAAATTTGAAATTTTTTCGTCAAATAGTTTTGGAGAAAAAAAATCGCAAAGTAGACAAAGTTGCTAGCACTCTCAAAATCGGGTACTTTTTTCGTTTAACTCGCGATAAAAAGAAAACCGTGAATCCGAAAATTTTCAAATTAACATATGTTACGTAGAAATGTTCACTGATTTCAATAAACTTTACCGCAATTTTTTCCATCGAGCGGTTACGAAGGTATCGATCCCTAAAGTGAGGGGCTTTGATTTTTGCACGGATAGTAGTTTTATCAAAAAAACTTTATTTATATCTTACTCATTACTTGATATTTAATTGTAATTATGGGACACTGTATAAAACGTTACAAACACTTTTTGTTATACAAAGTGATTAAAAGTTTGTCTGTTTTTGTCTTTTTAATCACTTTGTGTAACACCCAGTTGAAATAAATGTGAATAGTTTATGAATACAAAAAAAAAACTTTATTAGGTGATAATATAAAAATTGTTGATGGATGAATCTATTAAATTTATTAAAAAGATTATTATAGAATTGATTTGGGAGCCTTTTTTCCTATTTGGAAATTCCTTAAATTCACCTTAAAAAGGAGCTCATTCTAAATCTAAACAAATATGTTTTTAATTCTTAAACACAACACTCTTCGTATTTGTCTTATTAATTTACACATAACTAAATTGTTCTTTTAGCTTCCTAAAATCCCCTACACACCGTTATTTACCCAAGAATTTATAGAAACAAAAATCAACAAAGTGAGTTCTTGTCATAAATAAAATGTCTCGACTGTGTCACCCAATAAATCAACCCAAATAAACACCCATTTTAAAAAGAATCGAAAATGCAACATTCCGAAGGTGAGCTACCGGTCGGATCAAAAGAAAAACATGATTTTTTGGATCTAGAACCAAACCAACACATTGCGGTAGACCTAGAATGGCCAAACACCAACAAAGTGGACATGTTCGAATTAGCAAACGCCGCCGGTAGATTAATCGCTAATAACGCAGAAGATAAAGCGGTGGCTTTAGAAGATTTTTTCAGCAAATTAAAATTCTTGGAGAAATGTTGGTACGAAGCCGAGATGAAATACAACGCTTTAAGAAGCGCCAATGAAAGGTTAACTAATCAATTGGTACATTCAAAAGCAAAGTGTGCGATTTATCAAAAAAAACTTCGATTCATACAAGACAATCAAAAAAATTTCGCCAAATTAAAAGAAGTTTATATGACCATGAAATGCGAAGAAGGTGGCGTTCTTAAAGGTTTGGCCGATTTAAAAGATCGCTCATGTCAAACAAATCCTTTAGTGGTACTTCCCAATCCAATAAGCACCACAGGAAACACTCTTGAATGTTGTTTAGTTCCGGTTAAACAAGATTCCGTTGTCGCTTTAAATCGCTCACAGATCGATGACGCTCAACAAAATTTACAAATACTTAAAGAAATGATTATGAATAGGGAAGAAGCTTGGACTGTTAGTAAACGAGTCGAAGCAGAAATTCGTAGTGAATTACAAGCTTTGCAAACACAAAAAGCTACGTTAGAAGAAATCATTTGTATTAAAGATAACGAAATTGAAACTTTAAGAAGTATACATATGAAACCGAGTATTAGAGAAGAACTTTTTGATGATTTAATTAAAATTGTTACAAAAATGGATAGGCGAATGAGGTATAGTGAAACAGATTTAGATAAACTCGGGGTATTCCCCGAGTTGTTTATACAATATATAAATCTAGGAACGGTACTAGTTCTAGTTAATTGTTTATTCAGCGCTAGATTGTTGTATATTTTTTATTAAACGAAAAGTTGAACTAACACTAGATCGAGAACTAGAAACATTCGGAATTAGTCGTACGTCTCTCAAGACAGATAAACCCCAATGATTCTAGTTCTAGATCTTGTGTTAGTTCTAGTTTTAGTTTAATGAAAAATATACTATTAATTTTACCTTTTGTTTCTCAGAGATTTAGAAAAGCTTGGAAAAATTGGAAGATATATAGTTATGTTTACCGAAAAAGAAAGGCAATTACTTCAAGATATCCTCGAGTAAGACTTAAACATTACTTCAATTCTCCTTAAATAAAAAACTTATTATTTTAGGAACAATTCTTTTGAAAAACCAATTTATTACCCCCAAAATGATATCATCAAAGCAAAAGAAGTGGTAAAAAATCCACCAACACAACGACAAACCGCATCTTCTAGATCTGGAGTATCTTTGCCAAGAAAACTTCATCAAACCATGTCTTCTATAACAGATAAATTAACTCAACATTTACCGAATTCACAATTTGTTTCGCAGAAGAAGGGTTTCAATGAAACCGACGGCGAATTGGATTCATTACAAAAAATCCGAAAAGAAATCGAGGAAAAACAAACCGCGTTAAAAGAAAAAGTCCAACAGATTATCGAGTTTTCTAGTGGAAAAGGAAATTCGCCTATATCTGGTTTTATTTAACTAGGTAAAAAGGGAACGCCGGAAGTCTTTGAATGTGTGATTGTATAAATGGGTGAAAATAACACCAATAAAGATTGAATTTCAAATATAACAAAAGTAATTTATTTAAAAAACATTTTGACATTATACAGTAGTTATCAAATTATTTCATAGATGGCAGGTAAATTTTAAGTTTTTAAACTTTAAATAATTATATAATTAATTTTTATTTGTTTAATTTAAATTCACATCCATGTATAAATAGAAATATCAATTAATTAAAAATGTATTTTTTGATTTAATCCTTTTTAATGTTTAAATAATTTAATGTATCGCTTCATAGATGGCGCTTGGATTTATAATTACAGTTAATTTAACCTCAAAAAAGTTTAAAAATTTTATCAAATTTAGAAAAGATTGGAAAAATTGGAAGATATATACTCCAAGGTATCCTCGAGTAAGACTTAAATATTACTTCAATTCACCTTAAATAAAAAACTTATTATTTTAGGAACAATTCTTTAGAAAAACCAATTTATTACCCCCAAAATGATATCATCAAAGCAAAAGAAGTGGTAAAAAATCCACCAACACAACGACAAACCGCATCTTCTAGATCTGGAGTATCTTGTTATTTTGTTATATTTAAAATATAACAAAATTAATTTATTTAAAAAACATTTTGACATTATACAGTAGTTATTAAATTATTTAATAGATGGCAGCTAAATTTTAAGTTTTTAAACTTTAACTAATTATATAATTAATTTTTATTCGTTTAATTTAAATTCACATCCATGTATAAATAGAAATATCAATTAATTAAAAATGTATTTATTGATTTAATCCTTGTTAGGTTGAGTCGCTTCATAGATGGCGCTTGGGTTTATTTAGTTAATTTAACCTCAAAAAAGTTTAAAAATTTTAAATCCATCAGTAAGTATTAAATCAAGGTCTATAGAACATAAGGTTACCCAATACCGATTCTCCTCCTCTGAGAGGCAAGGTGGGTCAGTGACGTAGCTGGTTCTATGAACAACACAACACCACCTATACTGTGGTACAGTCTATATAAAATATTTAAACCTCGCATCGTGTTGTCACGTATAGGCACATGTATAGGCTATCTTTTATTCTGACTGTATCGAACCAGTGACGTCAATTTGCGGGGTAATAATCGATACTACAGAGGCATAGGGAATGAGGTAACCTTATGTTCTATAAACCTTGGTATTAAATAACATAGAATTCCTTAATTTATTTTCTGACAAAATTACACAAAAACATATAACAAAATCGCATTTATACAACACAAAATAAATTAATTAGTCTTTCTGGCTCTTCGTGACATCGCAACAAAATATAAATGGGGCATAAAACGTCTCAAAAAAATAGCAATTTTAGGTAAAAATGGTGATATGACAACTTCTTTAGTTTTTTTAACTACAGCAGTAAGAATACATTCTGCAACATATTCAGGTGTGTATCCACTTAAAGTTGTTTCATCCATTTGTCCATAAGTGTTCCCAGTACCAGTTAAAGCATTCTCACTTAGGTGAGTTTTAATATAACCTGGACTCACTACAGTTACATGAATGTTACTATCTTTTACTTCAGCTCGAAGTGAATCACTAAAAGCTTGTAGTGCATGTTTAGAAGCACAATAAGCAGATCTCGATGGTAACCCAATTAAACCTTGTATAGAACTAATTTGGACTATGTGACCTTGTTTTTGTTTAATCATGTTAGGAAGGATTGCTTTTGTTAAAGCAACAGCTCCAAAATAATTCACAACCATGATTTTAATATCAACATCTGGTTTTGTATCTATTACATTTCCTCGATGAGAAACTCCTCCATTATTTATTAATATATCAATATGTCCGGTTATTTCTAATATTTTAGTTACAGCTGTTTCTAAACTGTTTATGTCGCTTAAGTCTAAAGGCATTATTATAGGATGATGTGTTGGTCCTGTTGATTGTATTTTTAAGAGATCTTCTCTTACTCTATCTAATTCTTGACGACGTCTTGCACAAAGAACTATTAAACAACCTTTTTTGTAGAATTCATGAGCCAAAGCTTCACCTAATCCAGAACTTGCTCCAGTTATAACAACAACCTAAAATAATAAACTTAATCTGATTATATTTGATTTTAATTTCACTTACTTTTCCTCTTAATTCTCTAAATGATCTATGTAAATAAACAGCTCTCATCACTTTGTAGATTATAAAAGGTATAGTTACTGCAAGACTTAAACTGCTTCCTATGTTCCAATAAGAAGTACGAACGTCCCAAGACGGCATTTTTAAATTTTCTTTTACTAACAATTTTGATGATTTTCTTAGGTTTTTATAAAATTCCGTGGTGGATTTATTGCGAGGTTAACCTTTTAACCTACGATCGATGGTTGTCAAGTTTGAAGGGTATTTTTGTTTGATAATCATAATCTCTATAAAACCGATAAAATTTACGCTTATTTAAACAATCAACTTGTTTAATTACATGATTGCTTAATAGCTGGGGTAAATGGTTTTTGATGGTTTTCCAGGAATTTTTTAAAATGTTTTGATTAAAAATTGTTATTTTATTTCAAATTGGAGAGTATTTAAATATTTATTGATTGTTGTAACATCTAATAATTTATTTGGTACTTAATTGTTGCAATATGCAACGTTTATTGCAAACTTATCAACATTTAGTAACATTTTTTATGTTGACCAGGAAATTTTGGTGACATTTGTAGTTTTTAGGTTTTTGATTTCCCCACTACAGAACATTTTAAAAGAAACGCGGCCATTTTAAAAATAACTATCAAAACGGCAAATTGTTGATAAAGGTAAGAATGAGGTCTTCATCTCAAAGCCATTTTGTAAACGATACGTCTTGCACTTTAAAATGACAAGATCTAATGAATAATTTCTTAGTAGAAGATGAAATTTTGAAATCGTTCGAAATTGGTTACGCTCAATCCATAGGAGGGTCAATATTACATGTTGTTTGGGAGGATCATCATCATCATCATTATTGACACTACAACCCGACGTGGAGAATGGCTGAATGTTGTTTGGCGAGGACCCAGCGCGATTAATTTACAGATATTTGAGAAAAAATAACAAGCAAATAAGAATCCCCGCTGCTTTTGAAAAAGTATTGGACTGGATCAACAAGTTCAAGGGAATGATAAAATTGTTTAACACCATTTCCACTTGGGTTGAGTTGATCAATATCAATGCTTATGACAATGCTTCTAAGCTTAAATAAAAACGATATGATTCCATATCGAGCAAAATGATGGTTTATTACTAAATTGGCAAGACAATCGGGAGCAGATAATCGATCGTGACTCCAATACACATTTAGCACCTTGAAGCTAAGTTTACTATAGAACTTAGTTGAATTTAATTCTAGTGGCAATCCAGAAACAATTAACCAAGGTTTCTCAGTAAGCAACGTTAACAGCATTATCTTCAAACTAGGACCCAATAAGTTCTTCTTCTGCGGTCCCATTAACATACATTGAAAGAATTTACGCGATTAAGCCTTTGATATCCGGTCAATTGGTGGTGGATAGCGAACCTCTTACTGTTTCTGATGATATAAAAATTTTAGGAGTCACATTGGATCATCAGTTGAGGTTTGAGGAGCATGTGGCCAGGTGCTTGAGGGGTGGGTATGGCGCCCTGCGTGTCTTGTATGCCTTGTATGTCTTGACAGCCCATAGGGATGTCTTATGTAAAAAATTAAAAATTATGTTGTGTGATAGCTTGGTTCTAAGCAAATTAAATCACTGCGACGTTGTTTATGGTCCAAATTTAACGGAGGCGAGTGGGCGTCGTATCCAGAACCTCCAGAACGGTTGTCTGAGGTTTATTTACGGAATTCGTAAATATGACCATATTAGTCATAAGTTGGCAGAGACTGGGTGGTTGAACATGAAGAACAGACGTAAACTGCATGCAACTTGCGTTTATTATAAAATTATTAAAAGTCAGCGGTCTCCTTACTTGCTGCAACGCCTATCTTTCAGAAGCGATGTCCATAACATTAATATAAGGAGGAAAGATGTATTGACGGTACCACGCCGCACCTCGCACCGATCCCTTTCCTACCAGATAGCTAAAACGTACAATGATCTACCGATGAACCTTATAGGATTGAACTGTATTTCGTTCAAGAGTAAATTAAAATCCTCCCTCCTGCTTGAGTCATCATGATTTTTTTTTTATTATATTCTGAGTTACTAATGTATCGCTTTATACTGGCATGTCGTCGTATTTTGTTGTTTTGTTTTTTTTCATTTTGTTTATTAGTATTGTTAAAAACATTCTCATTTTTGCTTTATGTATATATTTTCTATATATTCTGGATTAAGTGGAAGAGCAGTTGGTTAATAACCAAACTGAGCTTCGCCCAGAAAATAAGTCTATCTTCTAAGAGTCTATTATTATTTTCTTTCCTTTTTTTGCGACCAATTAATAAAGGCATTATTATTATTATTATTAATTCCGGGATTAATTACCACAAACCAACAACGAATTAGACAATATGTTTAGTGATACATTTGTACCAGCCATTTAGAGAACCTCATTGTGGACGGGGAGTTTGTTTAGCTATATAAGAATGACAGGTGTTTATGAAGGAAATTATAAAACTCCCTTACTTTTTAATAATCCTGTAACCTTTGTTAGATAAGATATCTTGGGTTAATTTTAGACAAAGGTTTGGGAATCTTTTGCCATGTAGAATAGAGATACTCGCGCAATGCAAATAAGCGTTTGGAAAGATTGAATTCGAAGCTGCAATGTAGATCTTCACAACTGTGATTAAACTCATTTTAGCCCATTGATCTTTTGTCTAGTGGGCAAATACAAATCTTAGGTTGGCCTATTGTGTTAAATGCAACGGCTTGCTTGCTTTCTGATAATTAGCTACAGATTAAAGGCAACATGTCAACCGTCATCCGTACCATCCGATACGTTTTGTGCTATTACAGTTGTCAATTAGAATAAATGTGTTAAACGTCTAGTCTCGAAGAGCAACGAAGTGCCTGCTATACCACAAGATCTTTAATAACAAAAACAATAAAAATACAATTTACAGGTTGAGTCAGAAAGACTTTTACATAAAATTAGATTCTCGGATGGGCGATTTTTGTTGACCACTAATCTAGCATGTGGGGTTGTATATTTGTATTATCATCTTCAAGCAAAGGAATATTAAGGAATGCATATTGCTCGGGATCAATTTTCAAAGTTATCTACGATTCTGCCAACAAGAACCATAAAGTCATACTAAACCTATTAGCCTTTTCAACTGCAGTTAATGGATATCAAGTAGGAAGCTGACCGACTTTTAAGACTACCGAAGGTTTACTGTATATAGACAGCTACTTTAAATTCGCACACATTACACATCTGCTTTTTTACTTGTTTATTCATTTTGTCTTGAAGTGAGTAATTAAAGAAATCACTCTAACAACGTCGGCAATAATAACACGGTTTCATCAACGCTACTTGATTCTTGTCGCAGATTGTACCGAGACGACAGCAATGACAAAGAATACTAAGCAAAAGATGAGATGAAATGAAAGTTTTAAGATTTATATTCCTGTAGAGAATTATGTAAAATACAGGATGTAGTTAAATGGACAAAAACCAGATAGTGAAGTGGAAGGACGACGTCCTAAGAGATCAAATTAAATCAAATAACTTTATTTCCATATCAGTACAGCATCAGAAATTGTCAGTTATTACAATACTTAGAGAATAGGAAACCATCGTTATTCTATATACTTCATCTTATAATATACAACACTATTCAAATCCATCACAAACATACAATAAACAAAACCGTATAAACAATCACATTAAAGCTTTGACAGTGTCGCGGTTCCCCTTCAGAGTGCAACAAATATTCCTCCACCGAATAGAAACACTGGAAAGTTTTAACCTATATTTGAACCGGTTAAAATCAAGTTGCTTGATCCCCATTAGTAAATGACTATACATATAAGGATATCATCATATCGTCGGCTTAGTAAGAAAACTACGCAACTCCAATTTTTACCAAAAATAAGATTTTGATGTAATTATGCAACAAATTATTAAATCTACTAATTCCGAAAACTGCGCGTATATTGAAATACAAGTTTCTGCTCAAATGCTTAAAATGAAAAGCACTTAACACGACTGTCTATTTAAAAAAAATCCAGTTTTTTCTGTCTCCTGTAAAATTTTCCGATATGTTGAGAGCTATTTTGGGTGAGAGACAACCGGCATTTAGACAAGTACAAATTACCGGTTGGGTATCTAGTGGTTTTTTTACATATATGAGTGACTGCAGTATATAAATACTAGGCAGAGTCAATAAACGATTATTCCGAAATGTTTCTCTACATGATTCGTTGTAGGGTAAATTGAACATCGATCTAATGACCTTTTTCTGCGCTACAAAAGCCCGCTGCGAAGTTGATGAGTTGCCCCAACATACCGATCGTCAGCAAATAATACTTGCCTACAATTTTCACAAGATAATGGCACATTATTTATATACAAGATAAATAGCAATGGTTCCAATATGCTTCCTTGCGGAACTCAATGTACTATTGGTTTGTGACCACTTTACTAATTGTTGTCTGTCATTCAGCTAACTTTCAATCTAATACCGTACCGATTTAATTTTGGTAAAAGTAGTTGATGATGTAATGTGTCGAATGCTCTAGATGGGCTTAGAGCTGGTTCTCTTCGTCAGCGGAATAAAATCCAAGTTAGAAATGAAGATATGTTGAACTAAGTCATTTATTTGGGAGCTGTTTCACGTATTTGAGTCGGTTATCATGCTATCATACCAAAATCTTTGGTTTTTGCTACATCCTTGAGAAGCCGCTCTGATTGCTTGTTGTTTGTGGGGTTTTTAAAGTTTTCAGTGTTATTATAGTTATTAGGGAGAAGAATAGAGATGAGAAGGCAGGAATTTTGTGGTAATTTTATAACAAATTATCTTTGAACTACCTACTTCGAATTAACACCCATACTATAACTTCATTGGGAGTTACACATTCTGTAAAATTTCCTTCTGCAGTAATTTTGAAATATTAGGTCCAGTAAATATCCTTACTTTGTTTTTTGATAATTTGAGAAAAAAATTAATTAAGTATTGAAAAGCCGAGTCATTATGCGCTTTGACGAAGTTCTTTATAAATTTAAGTTTGATGTGAAAATGTGCCAGGAACATATTCTATGAATTCACGAAGCGTACAACGCAGACATTTTCTTTTTCTGTCAGATAATCAGTACTTCTCCAAGATTTTGCACTTTATGTTGTAGCATTCCTTCACTTGTATTGAGCAAACGAAACAGATAACTTACTATTACCACGCTTTTTTTAATTCTCATCCTAAATAAGAGTTGTCTAGCCAAAATGTGCAAGCTCCACAAAATATAGAATCAATAATTTTTAATTAAAAATACGGACTTTATTAATTAATTAATACAATTTCCCTATAAATTACAAAAATATCATCTCTTGGGAAGTGCTTACTTAAATATAAATAAAAAAAATATAATTATTACCTATTACATATTATTAATCACAGTTGTATAAAAAAAGCTACAAAAAAGAAGATTGCTTGTTGATTTTCTTTGTTTTGATGAATATTTTTTCATAGATAAAGTGCAATTACTTAATATAAATTTGTTTCACAATTATTACTTGAATTAGAATAATTTTATTAAAATATTTTTGTAAATTTCCCTATTATATCACTTAATTATCCATTTAAAATCAAATAATGTTGTTACTTGTTACAGTGTGGTTGACGTCACCGTGCTAACTCCATGCACCAAGATTGTCGGCGGCAAATTTTCTGTAATCACTTCCAACATATCCAAATACATAGAAGAATCATTGATGTGCGTTGGAGTCGATGGTAAGTAAATGAAAGTTACCGCCGTATTTTTAGACTGATCCAAAATCATTTTATTAACACTAAAAAATAGCAAAAATTAGAATTAAAAATTAAAATTTCGATTATTTGAAATACTTGTGTAAATAAGCTGGGACATCATTAGATTGAGATTCAATAACTTCATTCCACACACCAATCGGATACAATTCAGCTTCAATGCGTAAAATTTTTAATAAAGCCCGCAAACGATCGTATTTCGGTTGAGTGGTACTCGTTAAACTAAAATTGCTTTGACGAACTTCGTCACAAACGCAAACTCTTAATTTTGCACGACTCCACATCGGTACCATGTTAACAATACAAGCTAATTGCATCATAAATAAAGATGTTGTGTCAAAAGCGTCGTTCTCATTTGGCAATATGAAGTTAACAGGCCAAACATCAATGTATTGTTTAGTACCATTCCTAAAAGTTCTTTAAAAAGTATTTTATTACATATTTGATGAAAATGAGTTATGAGAAACATAAAATTAAAAAAAAATATATTTAAGAGATGGAGTTTTTGAAATAAATATTTTATAAATAAGTTAAAAAAATAAGTACCTTTTATCTTTGTTAAGCTTAAAAAAATTCCTACAAACACATAAATTTTTATTCATCCTCAAAACATCACTCATCATTTGAACATATTCCACAGATTCCAAATTATGTTGTGTTTTAATAGGAAAAATATTTTGCGTAAAACTTGTACTGAGATAAGGTGAATCGCCATTACTTAAAAAATCGTTTGAAACATGTTTATCTAAAAATCCAAGCACAATAGTATTCGGTTTCATTGCTCCCATTCCAGATAATCTCATTAAATGTTGCAATCCTTCCCGAACAGTTGGAGCAACGGTTAATTCAACAAAAGCCTTCACTTTTAAATGATCAACCAAATTCAACCAATGCGGTGTTAATTCTAATGCAGCATCCGGTTCGTTCGTATTCGGATCTTCGGTTACAACGTGTCCCAAAACGTATAAACCACCCTTTTTTAAATCATTTATAAAATCAATTAAAGGACATGACGTTCTCGGGCTATTAATAAGCAATAATACTTGAGGGCGCCAAAATTTAACATGGTTCTTTCTTGAATCTAACATTAATAAGTATTTACGAACTTGATGGAAGATTAACGCTTGAGAAATTGAACCCCATTGTGTTTCTTTAGTTGGGGAAAAAAGATGGAGGAAAATTATTAAAATTAAACAAAGCAAAATGCTACAAGCTGCGTAAATTGGCGAGATAACAAACATCATAATTAAGGTCCCTACTAGTCCTAAAAAGGCTGTGTGCCACGTAAAATACTTAAAGGATGGGCGGAAATTTGGAGCTCCCGATAATTCTAAACCTAAACAAGCCATATTTGTTGCTAAATAACTCAATAAGAATAGAACCGAATTTAATTGGGCGATTATGTTTAAGGAACCTATCAAAAGAACCAATTGGACTAAAAGCCAGGATAAAACAACCGCTAAAATTGGATTGTTACGCCAAGTACCTTTTGGAATAAATGATAGAAATGATCCTAAAAGAAAAAAAAATGAATTCTTAATAATAAGCGCATACGAAATGTATTTACCAAAAACTTTATCTTTAGCTAATGCTTCAATAACTCTAGATCCCCCGATAACATTACTTAAAGAAGCAGACCAAGTAGCAGTAAATAATCCTAAAGCGACCATTGCTGGTACAATATTAACACCAGTCATAAATAAGTAATTATTTTGTAATAAAAATCGACTGCTAGTAAAAGCAGTTAATAAAGAAAGTGTTAAATAAATGGCAAAGGTGAATGCAATAGCAGATAAAGTTCCTCTTGGTATTGATTTTCCTGGATTTTTCAATTCTCCACTCATATTTGCTCCAGCCATGATGCCAGTAACTCCAGAGAATAAAACACCAAAAACTGACGCAAACGTAACTAACTCCCCATGAGCTGTGTAATCTTTGCCATAATATGAGTAAAGGTTTTCATTTAGTGTAGCTATACGTAATCCTGTATAATTTCCCATGGTTATATTTCCAACTATTGTGTTTGAATCAGGAAGTGAAACCTAAATGGTGAAAAAAATTTTGATTTAAGTCTATGAGATAATAAGATATTCATTATTACCTCCATTGGCCCTTGATATAAAAAACTAAATATCGTAAATCCCAAACATGTACAAACAATACTTAATATAAACACTGTAGTTTTAGCGAACATACTTGCTCCAATTAAGCAAACGACTAAATTTAATGTGTTTAAACCAGAGCAATACAAAAATTGCCACCAACGGCCATCGTTTATGAGTCCTTTGATTAAATATCCTATAAAATAATTTAAAATAGTTATAAAAAATTGTATAAATTGCAATATTTACCGGATGGCCCAAAATTTTCCATTAATCCTTCCACACAACCTGTTATGTATAATGCACTACTTACGAGGTTTGCAAGAAAAAATAAAGTTCCTATTGAACCGCCAAATTCCGGTCCTAAAGTTCGACTAATCATAACTAATTAATTATTAAAGAAATTAAAAATAATTTTTGAATCTATTCATCATTTAATTAATTTTTTATTTAAATTATAATTAATTGTGCTACATCAAACATACTACCCGAGTATCATATATATTCAAAACGCTGAGGTCGCTTGCGACCGAGGTGATAGATTTGATATGATAATGACACAAGTCTAATCAACACTAATAAAGCATCACATACAATACTTAAAACGCCGAGATCAGTTGCGGGCGAGGCGCTAGTGTTGATATGATAACGACACAAACCTGATCAACACTACAAAAAAGCTTCAAAAAAGCTAGAGTTGATATGATATCGACATAAAGATCGTCAGCACTGTAATAAACGATCATATATATCCAAAACGATGAGGTTGCTTGCGGCTGAGGCGCTAGAGTTGATATGATAACGACACAAACCTGAGCAACACTACAATAAAGCATCATATATATTTAAAACGCCGAAGTCGCTTGCGGCCGAGGTGCTAGAGTTGATATGATGTCGAGTGTTGATATGATAACGACACAAACCTGATCAACACTACAAAAAAGATAGAGTTGATATGATATCGACATAAAGATCGTCAGCACTGTAATAAAGGATCATATATATCCAAAACGATGAGGTTGCTTGCGGCTGAGGCGCTAGAGTTGATATGATAATGACACAAACCTGAGTAACACTACAATAAAGCATCGTATACTTAAAACGCCGAGGTCGCTTGCGGCCGAGGCACTAGAGTTGATATGATGTCGACATAAAGATGGTCAGCACTGTAATCAAGCATCATATATATCCAAAACGCAGAGGTCGCTTGCGGCCGAGGCGCTGGAGTTGATATGATAACGACACAAATCTGATCAACACTACAATAAAGCATCATATATACTTAAAACGACGAGGTCGCTTGCGGGCGAGGCGCTAGAGTTGATATGATAACGACACAAACCTGAACAACACTACAATAAAGCATCACATATACTTAAAACGAACAATAATACTTAAACGAGCTAGAGTTGATATGATGTCGACATAACGATCGTCAGCACAGTAATCAAGCATCATATATGCTTAAAACGCCAAGGTGGCTTGCGGCCGAGGCGCTGGAGTTGATATGATAACGACACTAACCTGATTAACACTACAATAAAGCTTCATATATACTCAAAATGCCGAGGTCGTTTGCGGCAAAGGGGCTAGAGTTGATAGTATCATATACAGGTGTTTCTGTAAGTCGTGGCATAATTTTAATCATAAATACTAGAGTGAAAATGATGATGATTCGTGTAAACATTTTTGATCTAAAACCATAAATGGTTAAGATGTGGGCCTTCAAAGTTAAGAAATTTTCAAAAATTTTCAATATGGTTTGTGTTAGGAAGACTAAAATTTGACAAACAGTGTAATGTTATCATAAGAAATCGTTTAAGATCACTATTGAAAATATCGAACCACGAGATCAATACTATACATGTGTTCAAAAAGGTTATTTCTTTAAAACTTTTTTATTATGTCATGAACCCTTAAATTTTCCAAGTTGATTCTAAAAGCGAATTTCATTTTAAAATTATTTTCACTCTTAGAAACTTTTGATTAGACGCATCGTTTTCGAGATGTTTGCAAAAAGGTACAACCTCGATTTTGGATTGTTTTCATTAATCTTCATCAACCCAACCCAACCCAACCTGATAGAAAAACATTTCTAAATTAATCGAAAGACATTTACGTGAGACAGGAAATTTAAGACAAAAGTATGTAAATAACGGTAAGCTGAGGTCAGTTCATACACCCCAATTAGAAGAAAACATATTGGATTTTGTGGCAGATCGTAGTATTGCTAGCACTGTTGATAGCAACAGTTTAGACATTTCAGAATATCCAAAGATACGTCTTGGCATGTCCTACATGAACAGCAATTGTATCCATCCATTTGTCGAGAGTACAAGAATTTAAAATTGCTGATCATCCGTTGCAAGTACAGTGTTGCCATACCATAAAAGTACTTTTTACACAGATAACCATTAATTTGAGAAATACTGAAGAATAATTGTACTGAAGAAAATCCAGATTTCATGCTACGTTGAGTAATAATTTGACAGATTTCTTTTAAACGAACTTAAATTTTTTTGTGAATAATCCGAAAATGATGCGTTTAATCAAAAAATTCTAAGAATATAATTTTAAAATGAAATTTTAGTGGTTTACAACATAATAAAAAATGTTTTAAGGAAATAACCTTTGCGAACACCTGTATAGCATTGATCCCATGTTTGCATATTTTCAAAAGTGATCTTAACCGATTTCTCATGATAACATTGCACAAAATTTTATCTTTATAAGACAAACCATATTGAATATATGTAAGAAAATTTCTTAACTTTGATTTCTTAGCCATTTATGAGTTTAGACCAAAAATTTTTACACGAATCGTCATCAGGATTTTCTGATGGACAGGTTGTTTCTAGCGATAAAAGAATCGATGAAATCTGGACCTGGATTGTTGTTTTTGAAGACCTTGACCTGCTTCCCTTGTTTATCTAGGTATTTTTTCACCACATCTCGAATGTTGGCCTTTGTTAAGGGGATCCCCCAATTCGCAAGAACAACCAAAGATTCAGAAATCAACTGATGTAAAATCATCAGGTGTAAAATTGTTTAATAAGTTGCCAGCGGCGATTTCCGGATTGTCATTACACATATTTAAAAGTAAATTGCATACTTTTTTGACGCGCAGAGCTTACTACTCGAGTATTTGACCGAATTTCTCACTGAGAAAGATTTTATTTAATGTGATTTTGATATTGTTTATACAAAATCTAATATATGTTTATACACAATGAAGATATTATTATTATAATTGTCGAAATTAGAGTTTATTCCACAAATAGCTGTAGTATACTGATACAAAAAAATGAATAAAATCGGTGGAGGATTTTTCGACTTATTAAAAAAATTTAGTATTTTTAAAGCCCTCTAGCGGCTAAACTAAGCAATTTTGTATATAGATAAGTTGAGTTATATCATCATATTTTTGGTCAAGGTACTTGTGGTCTTGCATTGTACACGTCATTTCCCCTGTATATAATGTTTTAACAGTGTTGACCAAATTTGTGCAAACATGACGCTTCATTTCAGTATTAAATATCTTTAAGTAGATATCATATCATCTCTGGTGCGAATTTTACATAGAATCCATAATTGCAATAGAAAATAGGGATTCTCACTTGAAAATTTCAACTTAGGGGTTGTATCTTACTTTTGGGACACCTATACATATCAATTTTATCTCAAAAAAATTCGCGTTAAAAAAATAACAGATATCTGAGCATTTTTCTAAACAAATATTCCCCGAATTTTAATCCAATTTATTCCTTACTTTATGTACCAGTGTATGAAAAATAAATAAATCTTAAAAAATGTTTTTGATTGAATCATGAGAAGTTAGTCACTGATAGCTAACCTCAAAAAAATGTCAAAATTCTTCTAAAATTTTAAATTCTTAAAATTTTACAATTAAAATTAATTAATTTAATCCAAATTAATAAAAAAATAGAAATGTAAGTGTAATTTCTTAATAAAAAAGGATACAATACGCTCCACCTCCTTCGACCGCTCCATTAGTTGAAATAGCACAAATTGATGCAACGGTAAACACCAAAATTGCATAGGCGATAACAAATTGGAGTAAAGTAACTAATAACCCAGCATTTCCAACAACGTACCCTATTATTAAAATTTATTATTTATTTAATTAAATAAATAATTAGATACATACCAACACGAAGAAATATTAAAGCAGAAAACATAGATAATGTAACAGGACTGAAAACCCCTGCAAAGGTCCCCAATGTTCTCTGCTCTGATTGTTCGGTAATCGAACCAAATTCAACATAACCTTCACTTTGTCTTGGTTCATTTTTGCTAAAAATATTTGATAATCGTTTCATAAATGTTGTTCCAACAAGGGGGCTCCTATCCGTAGGGTGGGTATTTGTTGATGCTTCACTTGGTTCCAACATTTTTTAACTGTATCCCACAAAAATAAATAAAATCTGGTGGTATGATCAGGTTAAAAACCTTCCATTTGGTCGTTAAACTCTAATTTTTAACATGTTTTTTTTTCAATTCTTTGCAGCGTCAGCTGTACGCCTAAAAAGGTGACGAAGAACGATTTGATGGGAGTTTTTACGTTGAAATTACACTAGGATATGGTTTTATGATTATTACCAAACAAAGGCTTTTATCTCTTTTTGATACATTTAGAAATGTGTCTATCTTTGTTTATGGTGAGTAATGCTTTGTATAATTTTGGAGATTAATACCATGTAATTGATATTATAAACACCTTATAATGTGTTATATTTAGCTTATTGTTTAATTAATCTTTCATCGTAATCAGAATAATTTTGATGGATTTAAAAGTGAGGTTAGATTATTATTTCATCTTTTCACCAATAGGTGGGGTAAAAAATATTTAAAATATTAATTTAAAAAACCTTTATTTGAATCAAGTTATATAAAGTGATTATTATTCCTTAATTAATTTTCAAATTTTTCATAACAGCATGATTAACAACACCTGGAACTGTTGTAAATTTTTTACTTTTACCAGTTAATGCTATAAATTGCTCAGAAACTTCAACAGCAACACGAATTTGAGCCTCACCGGTGCTTGCTCCTAAATGGGGTGTAGCTACGACTTTAGGGTGTTTAATAACTTGTAACGTTACAGGATCTGTTGGTGGTTCTTGTTCGTACACATCCAAAGCAGCTCCTCCACATCTCCCATCATTTAAAGCTTGTAATAAATCTTTTTCGTCGATTATTCCACCTCGAGCTACGTTTACAACTCTCATTCCTTTTTTGCAGGTATCGAAAACTTGTTTGTTAATCATATCTAAAAAACAACGATTGAAGGAATTAGAAAAAATTGGGGATTTAATAAAGAAATTATTACTTCTTGTTTGTGGAATTAATGGGACATGAACTGTTACATAATCCGCTTGGGGCCAAATTTCTTTTAAAGGTAAGTGCTGCACGTTAAATTTTGATGCGTCTTCTGCGGAAACGATAGGATCAAATCCTATTGTCTAAAAATGAGAATGATTAAAATTGGTTATAAAAAGTTTTTGTATTAGCTTTGGATTAAGTACTTTCATTCCCCATGATTGCATTCTGATCGCAACTTCTTTCCCGATTCTTCCTAAACCGATAATCGCCAAAGTTTTTCCGTATAATTCGTGTCCGGTGTAGAGTTTTCTATCCCATTTTCCGGCTTTTAAACTTTCAGAAGCTGGGTATACATTTCTGGCTAAATTTGTGATGAGAGCACAAGTTAATTCGCATGCACTTATTGCATTTCCACCTGGTGTACTAAAAATAATTATAAATAAAGTCATTAAAGAAATATGTGTTTAATGAAGATTATTCGTTATGGATAAATTAGGGCTGAGATATAGGAACACAATATGTTTTGGTTACTTGTAGATACATATTTTGACATTGATATGATTTGAAAAAAATTTGTGATTTGCTGATCAAACTTCTCAGCAACAAACTTTTACTCTTGCTTTTCTACCTACTTCTATCTATAAGCTGATATCTTCTGTGCAGCCGTGTACAATAAAATTGGGTTCAATCTTTTTATGGATCTAGTCTTTATGGTCCATTGCTAAGGTTTTATGTATAAAAAATATTTCCCCATCGCTTTTAGTTTATAAGTTATGATTGAGTTAATTTTCGAAAATCAACAATTTTTATGTTGAATCGATTTAAAGCTTATAAATAAAAAATAGTAATAATTGGGTTCAATCTTTTTATGGATCTTGTCTTTATGGTCCATTATTAAGGATTTATGTATAAAAAATAATTCTCCATCGCATTTATTTTTTGATTTATGATTGAGTTAATTTTCGAAAATCAACAATTTTGATGTTTAATCGATTTAGAGCTTATAAATAAAAAATGGTAATAATTGGGTTCAATCTTTTTATGGATCTAGTCTTTATGGTCCATTACTAAGGTTTTATGTATAAAAAGTATTTCCCCATCGCTTTTAGTTTTTGAGTTATGATTGAGTTAATTTTCGAAAATCAACAATTTTGATGTTTAATCGATTTAGAGCTTATAAATAAAAAATGGTAATAATTGGGTTCAATCTTTTTATGGATCTAGTCTTTATGGTCCATTACTAAGGTTTCATGTATAAAAAATACTTCCCCATCGCTTTTAGTTTATAAGTTATGATTGAGTTAATTTTCGAAAATCAACAATGTTGATGTTTAGTCGATTTAAAGCTACTAAATAAAGAATGGTTATAATTGGGTCCAATCTTTTTATGGATCTAGTCTTTATGGTCCATTATTAAGGTTTCATGTATAAAAAATATTTCCCCATCGCTTTTATTTTTTGAGTTATGATTGAGTTAATTTTCGAAAATCAACAATTTTGATGTTTAATCGATTTAGAGCAGTGGTGTCCACTAATTTTTGATCAAAATCGACTTTTTATATAAATGTCTTGCCAAGATCGACCGAAGGGTGTAAAGTAAGCTTCCTTTTTTTTGTTCTGAGTTTCTGAGGCCCAGATATAGATATTTCAGATTCATGATTTTCTTGGCGATCGACTCAAAACTGCTTTGCGATCGACGTTATGGACACCACTGGTCTAGGAGAAATTTAAAAATTCCTCACCGGTTTAACAAAGAATAGAGAACTGCAAGAAAAAATATTTATGTTCTTGTTACATACTGTGCTAAACTGTGTTATATATATTCCAATTTTTTGAACTAGGTACTAAACGTAATGGTGTCATGAATACTACGTTTTATGCTACAAATAAATTTTTTCCAAAGCCATCTATAACTAAAAAAATATAGCTAATCAAAGACTTTAAAGACGCGAAAGACTGAAAAGAGAATACTAAATAGATACTGGAAAGAGATGAAACGAATATGGAAATGAATATGAGTCTGGAAGGCAAAGACACAGACTGGGCAAAAATTATTCTGACTAAAAAACCACTGGTAATGGCAGAGGAATTGGGAAGAGATGAAGGAGGCAAGGAAGAGACTGCAAAAATAAGAAAATTGTGGAGAAAAGTGAAGAACTGGACTGAAAGTAGAGATATTTGGACTTTGTATCATTACCAAGATATATAGGAACGATTTCGCCTCAAAGCGGCGAGGTTGTTCACGGACGATGTGCAAGATTTGACATGGTTTTATCAAAAGAAATGATTTTAAAATCTCGTATTCGATTTTTGTTAAACACCGATACAAAGAGCAGAAAATTTCCTATAGCTTTCGTTTTTTATTCTTACCAAATAACGGAGTTGTATTGAAAAAGGCCAATTTAGCAATTCTATGTAGGGTTATTTATTAGGTGTTTTTTTTTTTGGTAAAAGTGAGTCGTTGAGAAGTTTTTGCTATCGTTGCGCGGATAAAAGATATCTTAAAGATAACTAATAAAAAATAAATATTTACTTTAAAACGATGATATTTTTCGCTGTAGCTGCCGGAATATCAATATTATCGACTCCTGCACCGGCTCTTCCTACAACCTTTAACCTATTTCCCGCATTTATAACTTCTTGAGTAACTTTCGTATCAGATCTTACGATTAACCCATCGTAATTCTAAAAAAAAAGCAATGTTTCAAAATTATTTAAAATTAATCTAAATGAAATAAAATTGATCAAAACACATTTGCTATTGCTTAATCGAAAAATACAATTTGATTTTAAAATGACTTAAAAACACGGATCGATTTCACAATGGAATTTTACTTCGATTTAAAAACAATTTTGATAAGAAAAGAAATAAAATTAACTTATAAATAAAGTTTAAAAAAAAATCATAAAAACTTACTTGAACTTCTTTAATTAATTCTTCTTTCGATAATTTATATTTGCAATCAACTTGAATTGAATTAGCCTTTAACAAATCTACACATGCTTTATCAACAGCATCCGCGACTAAAACTTTTTGAATATGCATTTTAAAATGATTCGTTTTTAACTGACAATGAATGAAAACTGCACAGAATTGCACGCTGTGATGTTAACCTTGGTGTTTGATGGTGCGTGTGAAGTGCATTGCAGGTCAATCCACTTATTTATCAACTGCTACTCCCTCCATTCTTCCAATGGAAAAGTTTTTTTAAGATAAATTACATCGTTTCATATTTTTACAAATTTTGTTTTAATTTTGAACTAAAAAGTTTTTTGATTTTATAAAAAATAATCTCAAAGATAAAAATTAAAGTTGAAAAACAAAATGCGATTATAAGATATTGAACAAATAATAAAAAATGTTTAAAAGTTAACCCAATATTTTGATATTTTTGTTTTGTCTCTAAGAAGAGTCTTCTTATAAGAGACTTTATATCTTTACCAAGATAGATAAAGAATGATTTTGTCTTAAATCGCCGAGGTCGCTTGCGGGCGAGGCGCTACATTTGAGATATCAACCCGAAATCGTTAGCTTTAGAGTATTGGAGCGCCTCGCCCGCAAGCTACCTTGGTAGTTTGGTGGTAAACGTATTCTTATAAGAGAATTTGTACCTTACCAAGATATATAATATATAGGAACGATTTCGCCTTAAATCGCCGAGGCCGCTTGCGGGCGAGGCGCTACATTTGAGATATCAACACGAAATCGTTAGCTTTTTAGGATTCTAACGCCTCACCTGCAAGCGACCTCGGCGGTTTGAGGGTATACATCTTCTAGTAAGAGGCTTTGTATCTTTACCAAGATAGATAAGAAATTGTTAGATGATATGCTTATTTATACAGTTAGCAATGGTTTTGCATATAGGATAAAAAGAAATAATAAAAAGGGTTGGTAACATTGATTTTTTCTTATAAGTTAATATAGAAATAATAGATCAAGAAGATAGTTGTGTATTATTAATAACCTAAAGAAATAACAGGAATGATTTCGCCTTAAATTTGCCGAGGTCGCTTGCGGGCGAGGCGCTACATTTGAGATATCAACACGAAATCATTACTTAAATCAAACCTTGGTAGTTTGATGATAAACGCATTCTTATAAGAAACTTTATATCCTTACTAAGATATACGAGTTTAAATCGTCGAGATCGCTTGCGGCCGAGGCGCTACATTTGAGATATCAACAAGAAATCGTTAGCTTTAGAGTATTCTAGCGTCTCGCCCGCAAGCCACCTTGGTAGTTTGGTGGTAAACGTATTCTTATAAGAGAATTTGTACCTTACCAAGATATATAATATATAGGAACGATTTCGCTTAAATCGCCGAGGTCGCTTGCGGGCGAGGCGCTACATTTGAGATATCAACACGAAATCGTTAGCTTTTTAGGATCCTAACGTCTCACCTGCAAGCGACCTCGGCGGTTTGAGGGTATACATCTTCTAGTAAGAGACTTTGTATCTTTACCAAGATAGATAAGGAATGATTTCGCCTTAAATTGCCGAGGTCACTTGCGGGCGAGGCACTAGATTTGAGATGTCAACACGAAATCGTTACCTTTAAAGGATTCTAGCGTCTCGCCCGCAAGCCACCTTGGTAGTTTGATGGTAAACGTATTCTTATAAGAGATATATAATATATGTATAGGAACGATTCTGTCTTAAATCGCCGAGGTCGCTTGCGGGCGAGGCGCTACATTTGAGATATCAACACGAAATCGTTAGCTTTTTAGGATCCTAACGTCTCACCTGCAAGCGACCTCGGCGGTTTGAGGGTATACATCTTCTAGTAAGAGACTTTGTATCTTTACCAAGATAGATAAGGAATGATTTCGCCTTAAATTGCCGAGGTCGCTTGCGGGCGAAGCACTAGATTTGAGATATCAACACGAAATCGTTACCTTTAGAGGATTCTAGCGTCTCGCCCGCAAGCCATCTTGGTAGTTTGATGGTAAACGTATTCTTATAAGAGATATATAATATATGTATAGGAACGATTCTGTCTTAAATCGCCGAAGTCGCTTTCGGGCGAGGCGCTACATTTGAGATATCAACACGAAATCGTTAGCTTTAGAGTATTCTAGCGCCTTGCCCGCAAGTCACCTTGGTAGTTTGGCGGTAAACGTATTCTTATAAGAGAATTTGTACCTTACCAAGATATATAATATATAGGAACGATTTCGCCTTAAATTGCCGAGGTCGCTTCCGGGCGAGGCGCTACATTTGAGATATCAACACGAAATCGGTAGCTTTGGAGGGTTTTAGCGCCTCGCCCGCAAGCGACCTCGTCGGTTTGAAGTAAAATCTTCTTATAAGAGAATTTGTATCTTTACCAAGATAGATAAGGAACGATTTCGCCTTAAATTGCCGAATTCGCTTGCGGGCGAGGCACTAGATTTGAGATATCAACACGAAATCGTTAACTTTAGAGTATTCTAGCGCCTCGCCCGCAAGCCACCTTGGTAGTTTGGTGATAAACGTATTCTTATAAGAGAATTTGTACCTTACCAAGATATATAATATATAGGAACGATTTCGCCCTAAATCGTCGAGGTCGCTTGCGGGCGAGGCGCTACATTTGAGATATCAACACGAAATTGTTAGCTTTTTAGGATTCTAACGCCTCACCTGCAAGCGACCTCGGCGGTTTGAGGGTATACATCGTCTAGTAAGAGACTTTGTATCTTTGCCAAGATAGATAAGGAATGATTTTGCCTTAAATTGCCGAGGTCGCTTGCGGGCGAGGCGCTACATTTGAGATATCAACACGAAATCATTAGCTTTGGAGAATTCTAGCGCCTCGTCCGCAACCAACCTTGGTAGTTTGATGGTAAACGCATTCTTATAAGAGACTTTATATCCTTACTAAGATATACGAATTTAAATAGCCGAGGTCGCTTGCGGCCGAGGCGCTACATTCGAGATATCAACACATTGAAATCGTTAGCTTTGAAGGATTCTACCGCCTCGCCCACAAGTTACCGTGCAAAGTTTTGACAAACTTTTTTTAAGATAAATCACATCGTTTCATATTTCTACATTTTTGTTTTAATTTTGAACTAAAACGTTTTTTGATTTTATAAAAAGTAATTTCACAGATAAAAATTAAAGTTGCAAAACAAAGTGCGATTATAAGATATTGAAAAAATATTAAAAAATGTTTAAAAGTTAACCCAATATTTTGATATTCTTGTTTCTTATGGAAAACTTTTTCCGCTTTGAATACAGTTTCGTAATACACCTTAAATCCATGTTCGGTTAATTTTTGTTTAATACGATCGATTCTTTCCAAATAAATACAATATTGCAAACAAGTCATCGCTCTTGGAATAGAAACAAATTTTTCTTTCATTACGTAATAAGTTTGTAGATCAATTGATCGATTCACCATAGTTTTAGATAACAAAAAAATGTAACTTGTGTTTTTCTTTTTAATTTCATCCATTACTTTTTGTTTAGTCGATGGATAAACTCGAAATTTATTTTCTTCCCCAATGTAATCAAGCAACAAATTAGTAAAAGTTTTAGCACCCATTACGTTATGATTAGAAGCTTTTAAATCTTGTAAATTATTAATTAAATTCCCCGATTCTTTTGTTAATAAAATATTAAAAATTAAACTAGTAAACTCAGTTCTTATCAGTAAAGAAGTGAATACGAACAAAATCAAAACGTACTTAATCAACAAAACTGTTCTTTTTTTCGATAATAAATGTGTTGGTAATCCAAGAGATACTTGAGTCATTTCAACTAACAAATAAATTTTTGAATAAGGTTTATTCAACATTAGATTTATAATTAATAATAAAATTAAAATTGAAATCGATGAAATGATTACAAAAATCCATATTAATGGTTGAAAAGTAGCTAAAATATTTTTATACAAAACTCGGTGGTTAATTGGTACTAAAACAGCAATATAATCCATAATATGTGGGTAAGTAAAAGATATTAAGTCGTTATCAAATTTTTCGGTTAAAATTGAACTTGCCAAATAAGTCGTGTTTTTTGAAATTTTCAAAACAAAATTTACGGTTACATTAAGTGTTTTTAAAGCCATTCCAAGTAAATAACCGTATTCTCCAAGCAATTTCCCATTTTGTAAATAAAAAATGGGTTTATTTTCGTGGATAAATATTAATATTTCTTTTCCATGCATGTTATTGAATTTATTTATGAACAAAATTTTATCTTTATCATCATCTCTTAAATTTATTATTTTGTTATCGGTTTCTTCGTAATAATTATAACTAAAAATATTAACGAATTCTTTTTTATAAACAATTAGAAAATTTATAATTTCCATATTCCATATTTTTTCGTATAATTCCTCATTTATAATCTTATCATTTTGTTTTAAAACAAAAATATATTTACACAATCGGAACTTATTAATTTTTGGAGGTGGTTTTAAACTTTCAATTAAATCATCAATATCTTCAAAGAAATAAATTAAATATTTCGACGATTTATTATTACAGTGTAACTCAAATCTTTGTTTGTTATAGATAGTATAAGGAATTTGATAGCTTATTTTCGACAGAAATTCATCGACTATATCATTGTTACTGTTGTTTTTTGTTATTATCTCGTAAGAAAATATCTTTTTCGTATACAATTGATTGTTGTTTAAGAATTCTTTGAAATCTTCATCGGTTTTTATATCAAAGTTATTATATTTAGCGGCTGAATAGGTTATAAATGATAATATTAGAAGTTTTCTTGGATACATTTTGATTTCAAATGAAGTGATTTAGATTGATGTTGCTTTAAATATGGATGTTTTATTTTTAAATTGGATCGTTTATGGTGGTTAAAGTTATTATTTTCTAGTTTATGGATATAAATCATTTTTAAATCTTTACGTTTGGTGTTATTAATTACAGTATGTTTCTATTTAGAACATAATAAAATAGCCATATTGCCGAGGTTATAAAAAAGTTGAAAATATTGTTATTCATATAACCAGTTGTGACAAGATAAAGTTAAAGAAAAAGAAATTTTTAGTATTTAACTCATTTATTATTACTCATTCACTTTATTTCATACAATTCTCAAGTCCTAAAAAACTTTTTAAATCTTATAAACGGTCAAATTACATGTTAAAATTGATCAACAATCAAAACATCTAACGACAATTAAATTGTTACAAAAAAAACTTACGTTTGCGATTAAATTAATAATAAAAAGAATAAAAATCGGGCGAAATTGTTAGACGTTTTGATAATGTTAGCAACAACATCCACCACCGCCGCATCCTCCCCTCGACTGGGTGGTTCTTTTTGTGGCTGTAGTAGTCTTGCGTTTTGTAGTGGTAGTTTTCGGTTTCGTGGTTTTTTTCTTAGCGGCAGTCGAACGTGCTGGCCCACAACCACAACCTCCTCCACAAGGCATCTTGAATTGTTCTTAGATAATTTCTTTTAAGAAAAAAATACTTAAAATATTAATATTTAATATTTTTTCGAAAAGAAATTGCTAGAGATCTTGCTCTTCTTTACTTTTTTTCTTAGTTAAATCTTCGTTCGCTTACTCGCTGTTGACTAACGAAATGTTAAAGTTTGGCATCGTCTTTTATACCTTTCCCAATAAGACTAGTTTTTATAAGAGAATGAGACGGAATTTTTGGAGAAAATATGACCAGATGTTCATAAAATACACGTGGTTTCGATATAATTTTTAAGAATATTTAAATAAATTAAAAATAATTTTATATTTGAAGTGGATGGGGGTTGATTATGGTTATAAAGGATTTTTTTGTTAGTTGATTATAAAGCAAAGCGACAAATCATGATTAAATAATGTAAATTTATTATAATTATTAGGAAAAATACAAATAATAAAGTTTATTAAGTTCCTGGATATCCTATACACATTTTTGCAACAAAATTACATATTTTTAGTTAAAACAACTTTCACAAAACATTAAATAAAGGATGGAATCAAACAATTTTAATAAGTAATTAGTGTTGAGACAATTCAGGAACCTAATATATAGGTATTATTGGTTATTATAAATAAATTAATGTTATAATAATTTAAAATCAGCTATAAGTGCAACATGGTCTGAAGGGAAATATTGATTTGGTAAGGCAACATTGACAGACATTTCGTCTTCTGTTGGTAATGGCACAATTTTCGTTAATTCCATCGCATCTTTTTCATAAAAAATATAATCCAAACAACCTTTAAAATTGTCCGTGTAATTTGTGAAAGGTGGTGTTTCATAGGCGCTCCCATAAATTAAATTTTTCTTTAGGAAATTTGTATTACAGCCAACTAAAAATACAAATAAATAATAAAAAAAACAATTAAAATAATTAAAATTAACTTACTTTGTTCTAATTCTTTATTACATTTCGAAATATCATTAATCATATAATTATAAACACCACTTTCTGGAAGGCTATTAAAATCACCACAAAATATCACAGCTATTTTACTTCCATTACATATACTTTTAACGTCGTTACAAAATTTTTGAATACATTTATTAGCTATTACAGCTTGTACAAGGCGTATATCTCCAGCCTCGCTATGATAAAATAAATGGGTGTTTGCCACAACCAAAACAGTCTTTGTATTTTTACATTGCAAAGCAGCCAACAACAACGATGTATGTTGCTTTAACACACCCTCTTTTAAATCTTTGTTTCGTTTTATAACTGAATAAATATCCGAACAATTTCCATTTTCTTTTAATTGCTGTGCTAATACGATGTGTTTGACTTCTATACGCCTAGATAAAAAGAATTAAATTTTTTTTCCTTTCATTGTTTTTGAAATTGAAGTACTTACTGAAATCGTGATCTATCAAACATAAAACCTAACCCTTCGTTTAAAATGCGACCTTTTTTGTAAAAAGCTGGTGTAAATCCACAACTTGTTAGATGACCTTTGTAAAATTCATGGAAAGAACTGTATTCAATTTCTTGAAGACAAATTATATCTGCATTGTAACCTAAAACGTAATATTTTTGATAAATTAGTTTATTTTGGATGTTATTTTTTCATAACTGATAAAACAGTAAAATCTCGATATAACGGATTAATACGAGGAAGAATTTTTAATTTGCACTTTAATTTGACTGCTACATCCCGTTCGAATGTCCGTTCGTGATGTCAGCGCTAAATAACAATTAAAGCTAGAACTAACACTACACCTAGAATTAGACAGTTTTGGGTTTAGCTGTGTATCTCTTAAGACTCTTTTAGTTCATCAAAAATATGCACGAAATAGCCACCTGGAATATTAAGCCACTCAACAATTGAGAACAAGAAATAGTGGAAGAACTTAAGGAAGGAAAAAGAAATATATGTGCATTCCAGGAGACGAAAAGGGCAAGGTGAGAAGGACTATGGAGACTATGCACATATGTATATTCTTATCCAAACTAAATACAGGATGCTTTTGAATTCTGAAAATAAAAGTAATATTATAGCTCTATACAGCCCAGAAAACTGTAAACCCAAAGAAGATAGAGTGGAATTCTATGACAACTTGCAGAATATTTTAGACCTAATAATACCAGATGAAGTAGTAATAGCAAGCAGACGTTTCACGAAGACCACATCAGTGATTACCTTAGGATTAATAATACGTTCTATAACCACAAAGACACATACAAGTCAGAACTCTAAACTTAGCTAATATCGGAAGTGATCATAACAACTATGACTTGATAAACAAAAGACAACTTACCGGAAGAGGAAAAGATCAACATTGAAGCTCTATGAAATTAATCCACAAAATTTCTATTCCAACAAAGGCTAACCGAGAAAATTAGCACGAACCCAGTAGCATGGAAAAACGACATATAAGACTGCTAAATAATAAACTAGGAACCAGAAAAATAAAACTAACCCATAAACCAAGTAAAACTCTGTGGTGTAGAAAAGAAATTAAAGTGAAATGTGAAGAGAAAAAGAGGGCACACCTAGAATATAATACTCATAAGATGCAAGAATCACTTGAGAGAATGAAAAGGATTAGGAATGAAGTAAAGGATATATGTAGTAAGGAAAATAAAAAACGAACACTGGGAAGCTTTCTCCAAAAAGGTTGAATCAGATTTTTATGGCCTACAGAAGCAAATGTGGAGACTGGTCAGAAAACAAGGAAAAGAGGTAAACGAACTGGTAGAAACGATTAAAATACTTAGGTAAAGTATCCAACAGAAGTGTTTAAAGCCGACAACATACAGAAAGACAAACCAAATAACATCACAATAAACGATGACGTTACAATATTACCAGAAAATGTTAAAGAAACGCTAAGAATACATAAAAACCGAAAATCAGTAGGTCAAGACAAGATCCCAAATGAGCTACTAAAATATGAAGGAGGCAATTTAATAACGGAAATAACATCGCTGATAAACAAAATCTTAACTGAGCAAAAAATATCAAACGTATGGAAAACAAGCACAATGATTCTAATGTTCCAAAAGGAGATAAGAAAGAACCAAACAACTACAGAGGCATAAACCTACTTAGCACCATGCTCAAACTAGTAACCAAGATTATCAGAGCCAAAATTAATTCCATTACAACATTGACCCAAGAATAATAAGGGTTTAGGTCAGGAAGGTCATGTACAGAAGCTGTATTTGTGATGAGACAAGTCGTAGAAAAGTCAATAGAATATGATAAAACTACGGAATACCGACAAATATAGTTAAAACTATCGAAAACATCTATTCGGAAAACACGGATAAATGGAAAATTGACTGAGGAAATACATAAAAAGAGTCAAGACGGGCATGGGCTACAAAGTTGGTGATCCTCTGTTATGCTGATGACGTGGCCCTCTTTGCGGAAAACGGGAACGATCAGCAAACCTACAAGCATTTAACAACAGCAAAACAATTCAACATGTCCATTGCTGATCAAAAAACTAAATGCATGACAACAGCGAAAGAGCCACTTCGATGTAAGCTGGATCATAATAGAGCAGGTCATGACATTCAAGTACTTGAGAGCTGAACTATCAAGTTACGGTAATGTTGAAGAGGTAGTAAGTGTCTCAACAAGTCAGGAAAGAACAAAGATCTACATATTAACACAAAATCGAGAATATATAAGAGCACTATAAGATTGATCATAACCTATACGACTGAGACTAGATCTGACACGTCTAAAACAAAACGGATATTGGAAACAGCAGAAAGAGGAAGAAGATACTTCGCAGAATAATCGGTAAAACTCTATATCAGTGTTCTTCAACCTGTATTCCACGGAACCCTAGGGTTCGACTCAAACGCTTTAGGGGTACCACGAGTCTATGCTACAATTCGAAAGACCAGTGCGTCGCAGAGTTTCAATTGGAGCCAATTGGAACATCCTATCCATTTGTTCAGTCGGTTATTCAAATACTTGTTTAATTCTTACAAATTCAAGCGGTAGTAAGTTAATTATTTTATAATAAATTGTGGTTTGTTTGAACCTAAACTTAAATCCTTGAGAAACATACTGTGCAGAATTGGTTTCAAACTGGCAAATTGGAATCAAAATTAGAACAAGCTTCTTGTTCTCTTGAAAATTCGACCAGTTTTTAGCCAACATTAAACCCGACGGATAATACTGGAGAAGAAAATAAATCCGGATTAACAAGCCGAAAAAAACGAAAGTATGATGAAGATTAAATATGATGAAGAATCCTGCAAAGTTAAAGCGTCATTTGGAAACTAAACATCCGCCTTTAAAAGGTAAACGCGAATATTTTAAAAGAAAATGTATTGAACTAAATCAGCAAAGAATACCTTTGAAAGGTATGTTCGTGATGATAATAAAAATGTACTAAACGCATCGTATTTAATTAGTTGGCGCGTTGCTAACCGTAACTATCCGGTATCTGGCCTATCTGGCCATTTTTTAAAATCCGGCCGGATACCGGAATTAGTATCTGTTTTAGGTGTTGGACACTGCAGATAATAATCAAGTTCCACCCCAATAGGACTTTTTTCATTGAATACAATTTTATTTAGATCAGGCTTGTCATTAGCAACCTCATTGTAACAATCCCAATACAATATATAAAATCTCTTGTTCCAGTTTCGTCTAGTTTTCTTCTCTTCTCTTATAATTCATCATCACATTTATTACTAACAGAACTGTCGCTCTTATGACTTTCGATTATTAATTAAAGTATCCTCTTTTTAATACAACAAGCTGTTTTGAAAAATCACTTTTAGTTCTTGAGAAATAAATTTTTGAAATGATCGAAAATTTTTTCAAATTTGCAATTTTCGCCGATTAAGTTTTAAAAATTCGTATAAAATCCAGTTCTTTGAATATGAGTATGAAAATTTCCCAAAGTGTTAATAAAAGTGTCCTCTTTCCAATGAATCCACCTGTTTTGAAAAATAACTTTTAGTTTTTGAGAAAACAATATTTGAAGTTGTGATAAAATTTTTGAGGTTGCAATTTTCATCAATATCTTGCAAAATTCGCTATAAAATTAATTTCTTGAAGAATCCTTGTGGAAATATCACCGATTATTAATTAAAGTATCCTCTTTTTAATGCAAAAAGCTGTTTTGAAAAATCACTTTTAGTTCTTGAGAAATAAATTTTTGAAATGATCGAAAATTTTTTCAAATTTTGCAATTTTCGCCGATTAAGTTTTAAAAATTCGTATAAAATCCAGTTCTTGAATATGAGTATGAAAATTTCCCAAAGTGTTAATAAAAGTGTCCTCTTTCCAATGAACTTAACCGTTTTGAAAAATAACTTTTAATTGTTGAAAAAACAATATTTAAAGTTTTGATAAAATTGCACTCATAGAAAGATTGATAATAGATGTGGTTATCTTGAGGAATAACTCAAGTTGGATGCTATCTATGAGTGCTAACATTTATATTTAAATAGATAATATTAATAGTATGACTCAAAAATATTTTGTCCATTTTAATGTGGTCCGTTATATCAAGATTTTACTGTAATATAAAAAAAAACATGATGACAAATCTATTGTTGTTCATACCTAGTAACTCATTCATAGATAATCTCCACCTATATTGTGAAGATAAATATTTGCAGTCCACATACTCAAATTGACCATCTCTTGTATACTGATCTGCTAATATATTATAAGAAACAACTCGAAATCTAAAAAAAAATATAAAAAGAAATTATTTTATTCTTATTTTTCATCATATTTTAAACTTACTCATTATTACTTAATTTCTCTTTGGTAAATTGATGTCTAGCACTAATATATTCTACACTTAATGGTGGTATTGTGCAAACAACATCATCACTAATAACTTCAACAACGTCGCCGAGAACTCCATCTTCATTGCTTGGAGTATAAGTGACTTTGAAATAATAATCACTGTCCTCTTTTCGAGCGGTATAAAGAAAATTTGATGAAACAAAGGTCCATTTTTTCTTATCCTTAGATTTTTGCCACATAATTGTGCTTCTCTTTTTATGCAAAAACATAGCTTTTATGATTGGTCTTACGACAGTGTGAATGTATATCACTTTTGGTAACGTTAACGAAATAATTAATGGTGCGTTAACAATCACCAAAAATCTATTATTCATGATATTAAAATACATATGTTTATATTGAAAAATGTCTTTGCAACAAACCTCATCTTGAATAGGTATGGATTTGCGTGTTAAAGATATGTTAAAATCTTCGTACTTTTCAATATCCCATTCTTTATCTTGTAATAATTTTATAATCTTATTCTTTGTGTGGCGTAGCAAAGACGCTACCGTGTCGGTTATCTGACGGACTGACTTAATCTCTTCACATAATGTACCATATTTTTCATCTTTAACTTCCAATGTAAACCGTAAATCACACTGATTAGATTTTTCAGAATATCTTAGGTGAGCAACTTTACATGCAGTCGGTTTGTTCATTGTAGCGAAACTAATCGTATTATCAGGAAACCGTTATAAAATCGGATAAAAATGCCATACAAAATGTATTGATTAGAATTGTTATAACCTATCTATTTTTTTATAGACCAAATCAACAATTTTTTTGGTTAGTTTTTTAATTTGGGATTAATTCTAAGAGATGGCGCCACCTTTTAAAATTTACAACTGTCAAATATAGTTTAATAAATATGAAATGATTTTCTCTATAATGCCTCAATTTTAAGGTAATGTATTTAATATCAATATTATTTTCAACTAGAACAAAAAGGTTTTTATTGTTTAATCTTGGAAATCGCTTTTTAAAATTTTGTGATAATGGATAACCTTTTTTTTGTGAAAATTAAGTTTTTTAATAAATTTATCAATGATAACACTTAAATTAATTAAAAAATACATTAAATTTATATAAATTAATTTGGTTTAACTTAATTTATGGAAATCAAGCAAAAATTCCTTAAATTAATTGATGTGGACTACACTCAACTTTTTACAATTTTGATATATCACTGATATTAAAATTTAAAAAGGTACAGTGATTTCAAAATACAGTTAAATTTTAGAATAAAGTACTTCCGGTTATCCACCTAACACTGATTGTGAAGTTTATACAACATTTATGAATCAAAACGATTTTATCGAAAATACAGTAAGTTTTCATTTCTCTCTTTTGTTCTCCTAGCATAAGTCTTTCACCATTCTGGCTTCATTCTTACTTTATTCCCAATACTTGACAGTCCTGTCATTTTACATATCTCCGCACTTGGATTGACAAATAATTTGAGAATGCGCCTTTTTTTAAAGAAATTTTTTAAAAGAAATCCGTGATCAGCTTCTCAATTGTTAATAGAAACTTATAATGCTGTAGGCTTGTAAAAAGATATCGATTGTTACATTTCTCCTTGATTCAAAGGCCTCAAACAAGAATGTAGTATTCGTAGCTGAGGAAAAAAATAAAGGATGGTACAAAGTATGTGAGAGGATCGAAAAATATATAGGCGGAACCTGGTCTCCGGAAGCATGGAAGGTAACCAAAGGAAGTAATTAATATGAAAACATGGGCTAAACACTACAAAACCCAAAGGAAGATAGATAAGACTTGTCTAGATAAGAATTGATAAACGAGGGTCTCAATAGATGACTACTGCTTTAATTACCGAGAAAACAGCGTCAGAAATTCAATATCTAGAATATATGGATAGACTGTTAAGCAGAGAATAGAAAAAGAATTTAAAGACATAGAAGAGTAAAGCGGCTTTAGAGCGGGTTAATACAAAATATGGAAACACATGTTGTGTTTATCGATTTAACAAAAGCATATGGCAATGTGTCTCTCAGGAATCTATGGAGTGCTATCAGGAAACAAGGTGTAAGTGATATCTATATAGATGCAGTTAAAAGCCGGTATCAAAATATGGTGGCTATTATAAAAAAATAGCAACGGAGTATATGAAGACATTTATCTTAAAACATATAGAAAAGTATTAAAATATGGGGATTCAAATAGACGATGATAAACTTTATTCTGCACTTTGCGGACGATCAAGTTATATTAGCAGAAAACGGAATCAACGCGAATGAAAGATGACCCAAGCAAATGATAAACTGTATACTGCCAAATCGAAGAAAACGAGGAAGACCAAGGTGGTAATGGAAACTGGAAGTTAGGGAGAATCAAAAAGACTAAGTGAATACCAAAAATGGAAAAAAACGGCTATAGGATGTAAAAAAACTCGCCTATATATCTATATATATATATAGATGGTAATGCGTAGTGCTTCTCGGATGGACTTTCAGGAATACTTAAACATCATTCATCCAAAAATCCAGTTCACCACAGAAATAAAAGAAAACGGACAGCTTCCATTTCTCAACGTACTCGTAAAGAAATCTTCCAACAGGCTCTAATACACCGTCTATAAAAAACCTACGCACACAAACTGATACCTTACCCTTTCCTATCATCCCCTTTCCCATCATCATCTTTCCCATCATCACCTTGCACAGATACAGTCAGTCGCCACCTCCCTGATTTCAAGATCCATTCGACTAATTGATAACGAAAGCAGACCAGAAGAGATAACGAGGGTATCTCTGGCCCTCTCCCAAAATGGCTACTCCAAGTATGTGGTGAAGACATCGACCTTCACAACATCGTACTATCTTACATTAGAGGAACGACTGATCACATAGGAACACTTTTACATAAACATGACTGTGATCGCCTTCCATCGAGGATAACCATCTCTGTTTTTTCTTCTGCCAATTGCAAGCCTATTTCATGCAGCTTTTTCTTTATTACCTGGACGCAGTATTGGGCGTTATATGTCTTTGGATTTTGCCTTGACAATCACCAACGTAGGCCACGAGCGAGACGCCCTTCTCTATTTTAATCTCTAGCACCTGGTCGTAAAAGACATTCCAGAGCGTTCCTCCAATCACCGAACCTTGAAACCCAACCCAACCCAACCCATTCCACTCTATACCGCCAGAATCAAGGAACACGAGCTGAGCACCCGCAACAAACAACTCACACCTGCTCTCTTCCGCCACCATCTCGACACAGGACACACCATCAACTTTGAGGGCTGCAAGGAAATAGTCAACGTTCCACATTGGAGGACCAGACTCATCCGCGAGTCCATCGAAATAGCAATTCAAATTGTATTATTGGATCACGAGTAGGAGTACAAATAACTTTCCGCCGTTTTCTATCAAAAATTAGGAATGTATTGTGAAATAACGGTACATTACTTTTTAATCAAATTAATTGTCAATCATTACTTTTTCACATCTTTCTGGCAACATTCGGACACCACATCGGAAGAACTCTTCATCTTTTGTGGCTATTCACTAATCGACCCAATTTTTAGTATCTTCATATGATCAAGTAGGAGAATAATTTTGTCGTGTATGGAGTAGTATTGGGCGCGTTTTTCCTTGAATATCCTCCAGTAATGGTTTCGCTCGTATTGAGCATCTCATAATACATGACACCAAGCTGATCCCATCAAATACACAGCATGAGCTTTTTTTTCCATGGATATTCGGTTTAGTTCTCGATGTTGAAGCGTGGTCCCCATGATTTTCTCTTCTTTGGGTTATCGTAGTAGATCCATTTTTCATCACCAGTGACTATATGACGCAAAAAACCGTTTCTTTTATGCCTGGCAAGCAACATTTCACACATGCAAAATCGGCGTTCAACGTTTTTTGGCATGGAATCCAATTTCCTTGCTTTTGAATCATTTGCAACGATTTCAACCGATATTAAATTGCTTGGAATCACATTTAATGTAAGTATAAGTTTTTCTTGCCTTCCACTACGTTCTTTGTCTTCCACGCCAAACCCACCGTTTTTAAACTTTTGAAACCACTCACGACAACTTCTCTTACTTAAAGCAATCTTCTAGCTTTTTTATTGTAGCAGATTTCTTCAAATTAAAGAAGAATATCAAAAGTTTCCGCAAATGACGTTTACTCGGCACAAAATTTGTCATTTTCGTCACTAATACTTCAAGATTAACTTGTTATCAGATGTCCAAACTTACGATATTACGTTTTACACCTGACAAAATCAACATAACTTTCTGGTGGAGCCTTCTTTTGTCAAACAGCGGAAACTTATTTGTACTACAATGGATTTTGATTTTTCACGTTGCTGTTCGGAACAAATCTTGTGAGGAGTAACAAAACCATCGGAGATGATCAAAAGATCATGAACTTTGACGTCTCCCTAAGGTGAAATCGCTCACTTCTTGTAATGTGTCCCAAATAGGTCTGCTTTCTTTCTTTTACGGTATTCAAGAGAGATCTCTATATGTTTACCCATGGGGGGTGAGGGTGCGGTGAATCCTAGGTAGGCTTGTTCTACTTGTTTTGCTGTTCTCAGGGTTCTTGTCTTATGACCTGAATCAAGACCGACACTTCAGTTTTTCACTGCTTCTTCACGAGGTGCCCCTGTACCATACCAAAAGTGTCGGATCTAGACTTGCCAGTCGATAAATAGGCCTCCCGCCTGGCTGTCGTCGCGTGGCTTAGGGCTTGCACGAGAGAAAACGTGGTCGGGGACGATTGATATAGTCGAAACCGTTATACCATGCATGCCTATTGTTTGTGGACCTGTTCCACGGGCAGGGCATCCGGGGAATCTTGGCTTAATTGTCTGGGTTAAGAGGAGACAACCTCATTAAAAACCCCAAAGTGAATGTGGAACAGCTTATGCAGAGTACTTTAGGCTGTCATCTGACGGTCTAGTCATCCGGGAAGTGATGGCTGCTAATAAGCGGACTCTGGTGACCTGCCGACCTTCAGTTTCAATAGGCTTATCGGGGTATGGGAGCATTGCCTCGATGGACCACCCTTTCTGCCCTACTCGTGGGATTAGTATGGAGACGCCCAGTATGAATAAAACCCTTGACGAGGGGGGGATAAACCTCGATCCTGAAAAGGAAACCAAAAAGATGGAGGATAGTCCTCCATCAGAATCTACACTTGTGGTAGCCGGACCGTCCGCACCCAAGTCAAGTTCTCCCTCTCTGGAAGAGGAGCAGGTTCTTCTGCACTCTGAAGGAGGAATGTGGGGAGGAGCCTGTTAAGGCACTAGACAGTCTCACCCTTAAACAAAAACGCCTACGGCTGCCAGGGTCTGCTAGAAGGAACCTGCGCAAGCTTATGGGGAGCGGGGTGCCTTATGAGACCGCACTCAAGCAGGTGATTGAAAAGATCAACACGCCATTGGAAAAGAGCGCAGAGACCTCTAAGCCTTTGGCGAAGAGGGCGCGCTCTGATGGGTTGACGCCCGAGCAAGTGGCTAAGAAGCCCAAGCCGGCTGAGATCCTGCCGACGGAAACCAACGCTGCTTCAGAGAAGCAGCTGACCTACAAAGCTGCTGTGAGTGGTATCAGGGTTGGATTAATCCACCCAGACTATCCCGCCCAGCAGTTCAATGTAGAACAGGTGGGGTTGCTATTTACTTCACAGACCCTTAGTCACCTTAAAATTTGCTAAATTTTAGTGAAAACCGCATCTCGATATCGCCACCCGTTCTCGAATTATAGAAGAAAATGTTAAAAACTGGAGTGCCATCAATTGGATCCAGTTACCTCATCGAGAAAAACAAGTCACATAACCATGGTAACTGTAAACATGTCATTTACTAACGCAGAAGCGTATGATAGAGCTTATGATGATTTATTTTCAATGTTTCGAATGCGATGCAACTGCATGGCAAAAATGTGCAATGCAATTACAAAGAACAAAGAAAGACATTTTTCTCTAGAAGTGTTTTTAAGATTGACTTAGCGATTACAGAAAACTGGCAACATGTGTCAGCCCATTCAGACATCTCTATGAATTCGTAAATCACATTGGTGCGCAATGCGATCCCACATAATCTGGGAACTCCGAAAACAATTGTCCACAAGATTCCTCAAGAGAATAATATCTCCACCACATTGTTTTTACATCAGGCCTTAACAGATACCGATTATGATAACAGACTGAACTATTATCATTGACTTTTAAATATGATTTGGGCAAATCCAAACCTTTTATCGCAAATGCTATGGATGCATGAAGCATCTCTCCACAAGCGGTGTAAACTTGCATAATATGCATTCTTGGTTCGTGTAAAACCCACATTGCTTTCACCCCTTTATCTAAATTATTTTATTATTGGGTAGACTAAACACCCTGACCTTTCAAGAAAAACCAATAACCAGGGAAAATATGACAAAAAATATTCAAATTGGTTGAATGGTCCAGGAGATATTAAAATGTAAACATTTGAAAAGGCATTGGCCTCCTCCTCCCTTATTATGACAGATATAAGAAATATTGCAAAACAAAAGCGATGCGGTATTATCCAAGCTACTAAATGATGTTGTCAACGTTATAGCTCATCGTCTAACGTTCTGAGATAGCGGGAATTTTATGTTTCTCTATGGCAGTTACGCCCCCTAGCTATTTCTCTTGCCCACTTTGACACCCTGTATATGGAATATTTCGAAAACATTTATCTTTTTGTATACCAATGGACTCAGTGTTGCTGATCCATATAAGAATACGCTAAAGACCTTTTTCATTTTGAAAAATGCTTTTCTTGCATGTTCTAACTTAGGATCAACAGTTCCTTTTGATTATGGCACCCAGATATTTACATGGGGGTACTTGGTCTATAGGGATGTCGTTTATAAGGAGTCTTTCTTTTTAGCGTCTTTGACAAAATCATTAACTTTGTCTTGGCGGTGTTTATTTCAAGACCATACCCTGCGATGTTATCCTGGAGTTGGCTCATAAGTTTCTGCAAGTCGCACATATTTTTGGCAAGTACTATCGTGTAGTCTGCGCAACGGAGGTTGTTCCCATTGGCACCGTTTATCCTAATTCCCACTTCTAAAACGTTTATGATGGCATCAAGTATTGCTTCTGAGAATATGTTGAATAATAATGGCTTGCTTAAATCTCTTTAAGATCGCAATTTTTCTGAACTTGGTTTCATAGTTAATACTTACCTACAGAACCACTTACCTGGCGTGGAGATGCCTTAATAGGTACGCATGATTAGATACTAATAAGGGTACATAATATGATATATAAAAAAACTATTATTTCATTAAAATTATTTAATAATTTAAAATAAATTTTTACCATATTTGGTTTCTTATTTTTTAATAAACCGCAAATTTTCTTAATTTCAAAATATAAATATCGTAATTTTAAAAAGAAATAATAATAATTACTTGTAAACTATAACTGCATTCAATACTCAAAATAGACTGAAAGAAGACTCAAAATATAAAATTGACATTCCCATTTAAATCATTGCTTATCATCAATTTTAGGCCAAACTTCGTTAATAATTAAATCAATAGCTTCAGGTGAAACCAAAGCTTTAATATCGTCTGTACAATTAAAAGGATATTTTCTTTGATCTTGTCCATAATCGATATCTGATTCCATTTCATCTTCAATACAAAGGCTCAATTTTGATTGTTGTTCTTTAAGTTTTTTCGGTTGCAACGAATTCGCAGGCATACATTTAAATTTAATACCAGTTTCGAGATCTTCATAAAAATCATCATCATCTTTTTTCACTAAACTCACTTCTGAGGTGCATATCGTTTCTTCATCGTCGGTTATTGCTAAAGCTTTTCGCGACGATGTTCTTAATTTTTCACTAATGTTCTTTTTTATTATTAAATTTGATTCTTTTGGAATTATTCTTAAAATTTCTTCTTCAGCTTCACTTAAAATTCGTTTCTTCACAGAATGGTTTGAGTAGTAACGTGGTATTAAATTTAAATTTTCATTATCGTTTAAGTCGTTTTGATCGTTTGTGGATGTTGATGTTGTTGTTGTTGTTGTTGTTGTTGTATTACTTGTTTTTTGTATTGAAATAGAACATGATGATTGATTATTTGTTTTCTCATTTTCTGTTGTAACAATAATTTTTTCTGTATCAAGTTCAATACTATTAAAAGGAACTAAACTTGTTGAAATTGAACTACTTCTTTTGAATATGTTAAAAAATGTTGAGGATTTTTTTGTGGTTATAGTACTTGGTGTTGAGTAACTAATTTTTGGTTTAAAAATGCTTGACATAATTAGTTTTGTAGATTTTGATTTTTTAGGTAATGGTAATAATTGAGTGTTGGATAAAGCGTTTTGTGGCAAACTAGCTTCATTTTTTAAAATCTCATCGAATTTTTCAATATTTACCAATTTTATGTACGTTTTTTGCCTCATATATTTTTGTCCAGATTCAACGATCAATAAATCCGAATATTTCCTATCGATCGATTTCTTTAGGTTCTCTTCGTTTTCGAATTTTTTTATTAAATGCTTTTGCAAGAAAGCAATGCTCGAGATCAAAAAGAGATTTTCATTTTCCGGCTTACAAAGACCATCCTCTATATTTATATCGTCTTTTATCGGATATTCAAGTAAATGTTGTAACGGAGGAGGAACGAACTGTATTGAATCTTTTTGTGCCATACCCAAAATATTTTTTTCCAATTTTTTTTTCTATGTGGAAATTTTGTTATAAATTATTTTATCGAAATCTTCATTGATTGATTGGTTCGGGTGATTTTTATAAATATTCCGTCTTTGAATGTATTATAATTAAAAAACGTTTCGTGCCTTTTTTACAAATCCACTCCAATCTGTCATTACGTCAATATTTAAACTTGAAAAATTGTGATAAAAGTTGTAGCCATGATAACTTCAATGTTGTTGATTTTAACGATATTATTTCATAGGTATCTTTAAGTTTTAAATAAACCTATAACAATAAATTAAAAAGTTAAAAAATTATTTAAAAATAAATTCCTATTCTATAATTACTCACAAAATTGAGTATACAGTGGAATAGAACATAGATAATTGTGAATATTTCAAATAATTATTAATTTATTTTAAGCTTGTGATATACATATATTAACAACGACCTTATTAACTAAATTGAATGCAGAACTATTCAGTTTTCCAAATAAAATAATCATAATATCAACAATGATAACAAATGATACAAAATTCACGCCATAAAATTGAGTATACAGTTGAGCAAAAGTGATTAAGTTTAGGTTGGTATTGTTTTAATACGCTGTAAACCCTCCATTGACATTAATTTTTTTTAATCAATGTGAAATTACCCAAAAAAACACATTAAACACTAGATTAACTTCAGTTATAAAACTTCTATTATACAGGGTGTCACACAAAAAACGCCCCAAGCTGTAACTGTCATTTACACTGCGATTTTTATGAGCGAGTTATCAAATGAGATAGTTTGTAAATGCCACGATTCATGTTACAAATAAATTTTTTGAAGAAAACCTGAAGAAAAACATACCGAGCAATTTGAAGATCAAAGTTGATAATCTCTGAAATTGAAGATGGCATTGGAAAAAGTTTGTTTGTAGCATGAATCATAGTATTCATCAAACCTTTTCATTTGATACCTCGCTCATGATAATCGGAATGTAAATGACAGAGTTACAACTTGCGCTATTCTTGTGTGACAACCTGTATATACAGGCTATTTTTTTCTACTAAAATTCCATTTAAAATGGATGTATTGTACATCAATAGATTCAGAAAACCAATCTCTATCTAATGACGTGAAGAAAAATATACCCAGCAATTTGAGAAACAAAAGTTAATAATCGCTTGAACTTGAAGATGGCGTTGGAAAAAAAATATTTGTAGCATGAATCATAGTATTCATCAAACCATTTCATTTGATACCTGGGTCATGAAAATCGGAATGTAAATAACAGAGTTACAGGTTGGGGCGTTTTTTGTGTGACATCCTGTATAATGACTAACTTCAAGTTTAAAATGTCAACCTCAATTTTGACATATTTGTAATCTTCATTAAAAATCCTTTAAAATGAGTACAAACACGACATATTTATCTTCAATATTAATGAAGTTATGGTCAACTTCCGGTTAAGAATGTCAACGTCAATTTTGACATACTTGTAATTGTTGTGAAAAATCCTTTAAAACGAGTCCAAACATGATACGTTTAATTCCAATATTACTCGAGATATCAGCAACTTTCGGTTTGAAATGTCAATGTCATTTTGACATATTTTTAATTTTTATAAATATTTTTCACAAAAACAAAAATATAATAAAAAAAAATAAAAAATTAAGGTTGGTATTAATATTTAAAAATTAAATTGTTGCTTTTTATTCAAACTTTTTTGTTTTTTGAGATAAATGCGTCATCTTTGGACTCATTTTAACAGTTTTTTAATGAAGATGACAAATATGTCAAAATTGACGGTGACGTTTCAAACCGGAAGCGATTGTATTTCCACTAGTATTAAAGTTAAATATGTTTGGATTCATTTAAAGGATTTTTTATGAAGTTGACAAATATGTCAAAATTAAAAGTTGAAAGTTCGAACTTTTTGGTTTTTTGAGATAAATGCGTCAAGTTTGGACTCACTTTAAAGGTTATTTTATGAAGTTTACGAATATAATAATAAAATTAAAGTTGACATTGACAACTGAAAGTTTTTTTTACGACTAAACCCGAATGTTTTTAGTTCTCGTTCTAGTTTTAGTTCAATAAAAATATACAACATAGTATCATCATCAATGATTTGCTCATGTAGATCAATTAGAGCTTTAGTTGTGGAAGATTTCCTTACATAGTCATATTAGCTTTGTTCCAACCAGCGGTTTGACTTGTCGTGGACTCGTCGAATGCAATCGCACAGTTAAATAATGCAATGGAATCTGGTAAAATGTGACGACATTACTTGACATGTGCGATTGCATTTGACGAGTACCGGACGAGTCCGACCGCTTGTTGGAACAAAGCTATTGATGCTTACTGAAAACATCTTCTTTGTACAAATAGTCAAGAAGACGCGATTTCAACAGATGCTCAAAAAGTTTTGACATTATTGGTAAGATAGCTATTGGCCGAAAATTGTTAGGATCATTTGCATCACCTTTCTTGTATATGGGAGATATTTTCGTAATTTTTAGCTCATTAGGGAAAATGAATATTTAATGGTTCAACAATGATGTAAGCAATAAATTTTAAAATGCTCTTTGACATACCATAATAATCTTCTGAGTGACTATTATTGAGTTGCATCACTGGGGCTCCATCACTCATCAATGATGATGCATATTGGTCAGGCCATTTAGTTCTGAAACTTTTTTATCTCTTATAAAATTTTGATTACATAGTGGTTAAGTCAGAAGAATGGTATTTTTAAATATCTGCAAGTCTTGTTTACGTCATTGCAGTACAAAACCTCATTGTAGTTGGCACTGCCGTTGTACAAATATTTTGGAGACGTCCTGTATATATCACAAGCTTTAAAATAAATTAATAATTATTTGAAATATTCACAATTATCTATCTTCCATACCTTAATTTATTACCTGTATACTCAATTTTGTGAGCAACTGTATATTTTTATCGTTCATTTAATAATAGATCTATCGAATAATAGATGGCGGATAAAATTCTATTTTACAATACATAAAGCTAATACTAAGAACTGTGGAATTTAAGAGGACTGCTACATCCCGGGAATAGGCGCACAGCTCGGTGGACTGTTCATGACGTCACGCATGTGTAGACAACTAAAGGTGGGTTCATGCAACGTGTTTTAGTCGTAGTTGTTGGCATAGTAGTGAAAAGTTCAGGTATTGTGTTATAGTAGTACTGTTCATGCAACAACTTACGACTAAAATGGTTTTTGTCCTAGTCCCAAGAGTTGCCCAACTTTTAACTTCTTAAAGCTAAAACAATTGGTCGCAACGTGACGCATGCGCACTTTTCTCTTTTGTGTTCTTGTAATATAGCAGTGTTTCGTTTTATTTTATAAATTGAGGTGAAATTGCACCTTTATTTGGTGTTTTTGCTAAAAAAAGTCTTAACAATTCCTTAAACTCTTCGAACGACATGCAAACATATTTAAAAAATTGCAAATCGTCTTCCTCTTTCTCCAACATGTTTCTAATCAGAGTGGCATAATTTTCCTCTAATTTTCTAATTTTATTGATTGATCTTCTGCCAAAACGCCGTCGTCTTTTATTTCTTAATCTTTGTGCGATTAATAGAACTGCATTCAAGCACATTACTCTACAATTTTCTATTTGTTCATAATAAACAATACGAAACTGTTTTGTCTCCGGATTTCTTTTTTTTCAATTTGACACGAGTAGTGGTACGACTGTTTATATGTCAAAATCCTCCTTTAATGTGCTGTGCTTAAATATTGCATGAACCAATCCCTTTCCTTATAGCTACAGCTAAAGCAAACGCTTATGACTATGACTAAAACTAAAACACTTTGCAAGAACCTACCTTAAGTCTGAAGATGCACGGCTAAACCCGAAACTTTTCAGTTCTAGATCTCGCGTTGGTTCTAGTTTTATTTACCTAGAACTAACACTAGAACTAGAAACATTCGGGTTTAGCCATGTGTCTCTTGAGACGGCTAAACCCGAATGATTCTAGTTCTAGGTCAAGTGTTAATGCTAATCCTAGCGTTAGTTCTGGTTTTAGTTATTCAGTGTTAGATTTTTGTATATTTATCATTGAAATAAAACGAGAACTAATACTAAACCTAGATTTAAAAACATTCTGGGTTAATTGTGCATCTCTTAAGACGATTGAAATGTTTCTAATGTGACATATTGGTCCGATACTGCGTCATTTTCTGGATTACAAAAGAACAAAGGATGTAACGTTCGTTTAGATTCTACTGTTCTTGCCTATTCTATATTTTTATGGTCTATTGAATAATAAAAAATCTATCGAATAATAGATTGCGCATAAAATTCTATAATACGAACTTTTTTTTAATTATTAAAATACTTTAAGTGAAGGACAGTAGAATCTAACAGGATTACTACATCCATTGTTGTGACAACCTGCCCGCACACTACGTCACACCATTTGCCACGCCCAATTAGCTGTCATTATGTTCTATGCGTTTGCTGTGTATTTTTAGAGGTTATATATCGTATAATCATATATCGTAGACCTATTCATATTAAGGGTGGAATTGCAGCTGTCAAAACTCGTGACAAGTATGCGAATTGCCTATTCAAATGTATGAGGCGCAAATCGGTATATTTTTAATATATTATGTTGGATGCATAACTATAATAATCCCACACAATAAATTTTATGTTAGATGTTGGAGAGAGTAAGCGATCGAAGGTATCTAAGTGACGTTCCCAGATCGGTGGTATCATATACCCCGTATACGACATATAATATTTATCATAGGGTAATATTCAATCCCGCCATCTACTACAAAATGGGTGAACTTTAGAAAGTAACTAAATCAAATTATCTGCACTAAATACCCTAAATTTATTATTAAAACTCAAACTTCGGTGATTTTCCTCTCAATTAGTATATGTATTATTATACCCATACTGAAGGAAATCATTAATCTAAATTCATAATAAAAAGATTAATGGAGTAATATCAATTGAAAGTTTATAACTAAGAGTAAGTTTTTTTACCTACTTTCCTATTTTACAAAACAAAGAATGGTTTCTCTTGATAGAGACGATAAAAGTACACAATGCAAATTACGCTAATTAAAACTAGCATATAAAATCACCAAAGTTAATTTTCAAATTTGGTAGACAGGGCAAAATTCCATTGTTAACTTCAAAAGTAAATCTTGTATTGATATATATCTATCCTATAACCTCTAAAAACACCACAACAAACGCATAGAACTCAATGACAGTTAAGTGGCCGTGGCAAATAGTGTGACGTAGAGTGTGGGCAACCAATCTGTAGTGGGCTATAAAACAACAATGGATGTAGCAGTCCTATTTGATTCTACCGTCCTTGATTTTAAGTTGATTATGGGTTTTATAAAGAAAACACCAGAAAACATTGGCAACAATTTTTATATTTTGTCCTAAGTACTTTTTTTTATTAAATATGTACAATAAACCATTTAAAAATTACAGTTAAAAATCACAAAATATTCACTCCTATATGAAAAAAACAAATCAATAATTCATAAAGTAGGTAAATAAATACTTAATACATAAAAAAAGAATTATGATGAATATGAACATGTTTTTTTCTAAATCTTAACGTTAAATGTTTTTCAATCCGGATAAATGGTTGTTTATTTTGTGTTAATAACTTTATCTAGTCCAATATATGTTAATGCATGTATTTTTTTAATTTAATTTAATAACGTTTTGAGTGAAATAATAAATATGAATATGAGGGAAAAACAACTGTTCTAATTGTAAGTACATAATGAGCCCGATGAAAACGTGTTAATAGAGATAACAATGAAATTGGCACTAAGCTCGATGCGCTCGCTTAATTAACTATATAATAACTTCGATAGGAAGCGTTTACTCTTCTTTTACCCTTCGATTAATATTAAATTCATAATTAAATTCATTTATGCGTTATGCGGGTTTATTTTTCCTTAATGATTGTATAGCGATTGAGATTCAAAAGTTACTTAACGCCTAAATACGGTAGTAAATAGTAATAAATCACAGCAATTGTGTGCATTTAATAGTGCATTGTAAGCGCAAACATTTTTTTTGTAATAATAATAATAATAAATTTAATTTACGTAATTCGTCGATATTTACAAAGTTTTTTTTTTAAGAGATTATAATTTTATATAATATTAATTTTAAAAAGAACGGGGTTGTAACTACTTTTTTTTCAGCTATTATATAAATTGGTCGATTTTCAACGAATTTTTTTTTTTTTTTGAATCAATAAACGAAATGGGTTTCATTTTAAATGTAATAACGAGAAGTTTAAAGGACGGAATAATGCATTCGTTTTTTTTTTCTTTAATCATTCTTTGTTATTAATAACTTATTTTCTTTTTATATTTTAAAGCTGTGGATAAGATTTAGATTTTTAATTTGTTTTAAAATCGGGAAAAGTTTAAATTTTAAATATTTTATTTTTAGATAAAACTTCGTAAAGATTTCTTTTTGAATTCTTATTTGTTAAAAATAAATTAATCTTAAATTAAATACATTATCTAGATCATATAGATAGTAAAGGATTAAGTTGAAAGAAGATAGTTCATAAAAACAAATAAGAAGGGAAGGATAATAATAGAGAAATTAAAAAAGCTTTTTTTATATTTTCACCTTTAATTCCGACGGTGCTGGGTATTCTTTACTTACAATCACCTTTTCTTGCACATCTTGATTTTGATCGAGAGGTAGACGTTTACGGGGATCATTTAATTTTTTTAGATCCTTTTGCAACTTCGTTATTTGATCTTTTAGCACATTATACTTATTAACATCGAAACCCGATTTTTTCGCTTTTTTGTGCAATGTTATTAAATGTTGTCTATCTTTTACATCAGTCAATACGTATTCCTACAATAAAATAAACAAGATTAGATTAGCACATTAATTTATAACAATTATAGAGTGGAAATGAATAAATACCCATACTCAATTAATTAAAATTTTACTTTTTAGTAATTTTTAAAGTAATCGTGATAACATACATATATGCCAAATGATATTTGACGTTTCACAGCTAACTATGTATGTAGAAACATAACAATATATTATATTCATTGTGAGCCAAGACACATCAGTTTATGTTAGAGTACCATATCATTTCTTTGTAAAATTTATTATTGATCCGAAAAGTAGAAAAATTTTCACACTATGGGTACTACTTTCAAAATATTTGGCAGTAATATGTTTTAGGACATTCTCTACATGATGGTGATATCACATTTTCAATTGGACGAATTATTTCAAAATAGTCGCCATTTTGTTTTTCTTAACAATTCATTTTTTTCCCCATTAAGAAGCACACATTTTAATCTAGTAGCGCATGAATGTTTTACACTCGATGTTATTTTTGTCCAAATATCAAGTAGCGCTAGACACAAAAGAAACAATTAAACTTTATTTTGTAATAAACATCTACTTATTTATTTATTTGGACAAAAATAACATCGAGTGTAGAACATTCATGCACTACTAGATTAAAATGTCAGGTTGATTTTTGATGGGGAAAGAAATGAATTTTTAAGAAAAACAAAATACTATCGTATAAAGAATGTTTTTAGGACCTCAATAATAAAAAAAAATGTTGGCATTCCATTAAAAAAAAAAAGTTAACAGTCGCCATTTTGAAATAATTCGTCCAATTGAAAATATGATATCACCATCGTGTAGAGAATGTCCTAAAACATATTACTGCCAAATATTTTGCAAGTAGTACCCATAGTGTGGCTAAAAAAAAATAAGGCGCTTACTCTGAATCAGGCTGTATGTTGTCAATATGGCCAATAAATATTGACAAACTGTAATTGCCTCAGACTATCAATATTTATTGACAATCTACTTAGTTTTGCGTTGGCATTGAAAGATGTCATATCATCAAAAAACTTGTGTAGCTATTATTTTAGGTTTAACAACAAAACGCTGGAAGAATTCTCTTTTTCTTCCGGCCTGGGATGAGCTAGGGAATGACTTCTAAAGAGAGACATGTTTTCTCAAATGAATTTGTTTTTTTATTATATATAAGCATTTTATTGTTTTTGATATTTACAATTTTCCCCTTAATACATTCTAATATATCTTATAAATATATTATTTTCACCCTCTACCGTCTTCCTCCATTTCCACACCCTCGGTTCCTCGGCCCAATCATCCCCTCATCCATCCCTTTGTCTCCTCACTCCCACAACCATTCTCATCCATCGTTTCCCCTCTCCCCCCTCTCCTAAGATCTGACCTCGGTCCAACTCCTCCTCTCTCAACTCACTGCACCCATTCAACATATGTTCCAACGTTTCCCATTCCTCCCTGCATAGCCTACACCACCTCTCCTCATCGGCCATCCAGTATCTGTTAGCTCTCCCCTCGTTTCCACAACGGAACCTAGCCACCAACTTCTTCCCTTCCTCATCTCCTTCCAATAACAAGTATCTAGGCAGCCCCTCCGTAATTATGTCCCTGTACCTTTCGTTATACCTTCCCTCTTTTATTTGTGTCCTTCTTTCCTGTCTCTGCACATCTCGGTCCCTATCTCTCAACTCCCTCCACATCTCCCTACCCACCCTTCGTCTACTATTTATCTCAGTTACCGAGTAGCCCGCTCGTCTATAATAGTTGTCTCTGTCTCCTTTCCCATATCTGATCTATCCCTCACTACTTTCCCTCCAACACTCCCCCAAGATCCCGCAGTTTGGCCTCCCTTCTATTCTTTCTTCATATTTCACTGCTCTCTTGCCCGCCTCCACTCTGACCTTATTCACCTTTACCTCTTCTCTCACTATATACCCCGGTGTTTCTCTCGACACCCCATGCACCCATCTCCAGTATCTAGCTTGCACGTCCTTCAGCATTGCCTGCTCTCTCTATCCCCATACCTCTGCCCCATACATCATCATACTGCTAACCAGACCTTCAAACATAATCTTCCTCGCTGCCACATTCCTTCCAAAGACTCTCTTCCCCCAACCCCATACTTGTCCCATCACCTTATTCGCCTTTTTTGCCATAGCTATCACATGCGACCCCTCCCTGTTGTCCTCCCTGAACACATACCCCAAGTAAGTATACTCCCTAACCTTCTCGATCTCTTTTCCCTCCTATCTCCAGTTTTCTGTTCTTTTTCTCCCACCCTTACAAAACTTCATCATCCTTGTCTTCCCCACATTCACTTCCAGCCCCTTAACCCTAAAATATCTCTCCAATGTCTTTATCATTTCTTTCATCTCTGCCGCTTCTCTCGCCATGACCACGATGTCATCCGCGTATGCTAACATATGCACCTTTCTACCTCCCACCACCAACCCTCCCATTTGCCCCTTCCCCAATCTATCCTCCAGGTCCGCCGTATACAGTGCAAACAGACTTGGGCTCAGCGGACATCCCTGCCTCAGTCCCTTCGTCGTCCAGAACACGTCGCTCAGCTTATCTCCCACTTTTATCCTAGCCATAGTCTCCATGTATATTTCCTTCACTCTCGCAATTAGGTGTTCCGTGATCCCCCTCCTCCCATAACTTTCCCCTATCCACCTTATCAAAAGCCGCCTTCAAATCTATAAACAGGGCGTACAATTTCCCTCCCTTCTTATCCAGCTCTCTATCTGCCAGATGCTTCAGCACGTACACGTTGTCGATTGCTCCCCTTCCCTTCCGAAAGACTGCCTGCCCATCCGGCAAAATTCCCCCCAACTCCATTTCCTCCTCCAGTCTTCCCAGTAGTATCTTCGTGTATACCTTGTATGCCGAGTCTAGTAGGTTAATTCCTCTGTAGCTCTCTACCCTTCCCTTATTACCCTTTTTATATACTGGGCAAATTACCCTCACTTTCCATCCCTCCAAATGAATTTGTTGAATCTACTCCAAAAGATTTTTAAAATTTCTTTCCCATGACTAAAGCGGCCCTTACACGATCAATAGCATTGATAATATCAGTATTAACAATACAACCATCAATTCTCATGATCAATATTATTGTCAATACTTTTGTCAATAAGTTACCTTTTTACCAAGAACAGGGTGAATCTACGTAGTTTTGTTCAGTTATTTGCCGATTTTTCTCTTCTAAATATGGATAATCGTACAAAAGCTTGTGTAGCTATTATTTTGGCGCTTGGAACTACTCGTCCAGTGAAACGCAAACACAGGATGAAAGAATAGATGAAGAAGAGAGATGAATATTCTCATGTAGTACTGTTGAAAGAAATCAGTCTCTGCGATGTTGATGATTTCAAGAACTACTTTCGAAAGGATGAAACAAACTGTTACAGATGGTTGAACCATTTTTGAAAAGACAGGATAGCAATATGAGAGGAAGTATAAGTGTTAGGGAAAGATTAGCCTTAACTCTGAGGTACTTGGCCACAGGAAGAAAATTCAACTATCAGCAAAGCTGTAATAGAAACCTGTGAAGCCTTTATATAAGTTCTACAAGACTGAGTGTAATGTAGAAAATTAGAATTAAACCTGTTTTCAAATCATCTGGGCTAAAATAACATGTTTTTTCAGTGTGTTGATAGACATGTTTTGTTATTGCTACAATTAAATAGAAGTATTTAATTTTGAATGTTGAGTATTACACTGAGTGTTGATGGAAATATTGGCGCCAACCCTATACGGTCAATAGTATTGTCAATATCCCCTCCAATTTTCAGTATTGATTCCCGAAAATCAGAAAATCCGGGTTTTTATCAATACTCCATCAATATTTACCGTCAATAAATTATTATTATTGTTAATATGCTAAGGTATTGTTAATATTATTGATCGTGTAAGAGTTGCTTAAAGCGCCCTTCACACGATCAATATATATTGTCAATAAAATATTGTCAAACTGTAATTGCCTCAGGCTATCAATATTTATTGACAATCTACTTAGTTTTGCGTTGGCAGTCAAAGATGTCATGTCATGTTTGCATGTGTTAATGAACCATCAGGGGAGTTAACAGCTCTTTCCTCCATTAAAGTATATCTGTCTGAATTCATTATTGCGCGATATAATTCGTAATATAATCCAATTAACGTAGGATTGTCAATATCTCCCTCAGATTGCCAATATATCAAATATTTTCGTTTTCGTCATACCATCCCATCAATACTTTTAATATTGACAATATGTCAATCTTTCTACTCACACGTTTAATAATATTGTCAATACTTAGATAATGACAATATATATTGATCGTGTGAAGGGCGCTTTAAAATACAGCTACCCAATACAGAACTGAATGTAATAAATTGTAATAAACGAGATTAGCAGTGATGATAGCGACAATGAGCACAAATAGTGAACCAAAAACGGATGATACTTCTAATATTAATGATAGCGCACAATGACCAATAGATTTTTAAGAACAAAGAATTTCATATTTAGTGATGATAACATTTTATTAACATTTCCACAGAACGTCAGCCTATGGAGTATTATAATATTTGCGTGTTAAATGATGTTTTAAATTGAATGATATCAGAAACTAAAATTTTCTAGAAAATATTTGATTAACAATATAATTGAACATGTGAAATGAAAACGTATCATTGGTATTATTTATTAGAATTATATTGGAATGAAATAATTTTTTACTACTTTTGCGATTTTAATGATGTACATGCAATATTGGAGGCAAGTGTAGGGATCAAAACTAAGTTTCATTTATCGCAAGGATATCCCTTAGAAATCTTTGAGCACTTTATCACAAGGCTTATCTACAGTATCATGCTTGGCTCTACAGCTAGTTATAAACCTAGGCCTGCCTGACAAAGTTGCCCATTTCGCGCCAGTCGTCTTCAATCCCTAATCTTTAGCCGCCTTAGGTCTTCCACATCGTCCACAAATCGTCTCTTCGACCTCACAACCGATCTTCTACCCATAGACCCATGGTGATCAAAGATAATTCTTGAGGTACTTTTAATGTTCATTTTGGCTACATGGCCAATTCATCTCAACCTTTGCACTTTGATAAATTTAACTATCTCCTGTTCGCAATATAAAAGATACAATTTGAAGTTGTGTCCATGATTCCGACTCATAGCTAGTACTGGTCGTATTAAGGTCTTGTATAGAAGTAATTAGATTCTTCTTTGCAGGATTTTTAATATTCATCAAATTCCAAGTATTTTATTTTGACACCAAGATATTCATGTTGAATTTTGTTGCTGTTTCTTCGAATTGATACAGCATCTTCTGAGTGTTATCTTCATCCACCGACAACAGGACAGCATCATTCGCATAGCTTACTATTTTCAGTTCATCATTTCCCAACTGATAATCCTTTCCAACTCTTTTCACATCAGATACTATTTCGTCCATGATCAAGTTGAATGCGCGAATTAGACTGTGTTCCTATCTTATGCTTGTTTGTATGAGTACTTTGCGTGTCACTTCTTTCTCTGTTCTTATTCTTGTTATTGGAGGCTTAGCTCCACGATAATATTTATTGTATCGTGATGAACTGAAGACAGTAATCTGTCTTAGTATATATATAGCGTATATCGTTGACCTATTTTCCTAAAACTTAACTGTTACTCATAGATGCCGCTAGAAGAATTTTAGTAATTTTGTATTATTTAGTCAATTTTTTCTGGAAATTTGCATTTTGTAAATCTTTCACCGACTCGGAGTGATAGAAGTGAAGTACGTCGATAGAACACGGGCATTAATATTGTACTCTCCGTCTATTAACTCGTGACGTTTCGCATATACAATTATTACCCCTGAGGCAGCTAAAATGTTCTGGAAAATCTGCGCGGCCAGTAATATCCAGTGTTAATTTCCACTACTCAAATATTAACTTTATATATACTCAATATTGACTTTGTTGCTTGAATTATGGGGGATTTAATAATTAAACTTGAATAATGGTTATATAATATGTAATACTCAAGTCGAATATCGAATCATATTATTGCCTAAGGGGTAGCTTAATATCATTCATAAACGTCAAACTTATCATCATTAAAGTTATCATAAATATAATCAGTAAAGATATACAGGGTGTTAATTAATTATCGTACCCGACGTCATCGTTGCAAGTATGCAACCAATATCACAGTGCAATACGCATCATACGCAAATCGCGTATTGCAATAAAAATATTGTGATATTGGTTGCATACTTGCAATGATGACGTCGGGTACGATAATTCTTTTGTATTGTTATTATATCATTTTGTTATAATTTGTGCTATTAGTGTTGAAATACAATTTGAGGTATGTTAGTTAGTTCTTTTAAATTCTAATTTTCGATCACAATTTTGAGCAGCTAAGATTACATATCATCAATAATACAGTTGATGTAAGCTTCCAAGTTATCCGTAATGTTTGGTTTATTAGTGTAAACTAGCGGCTTCATAAATGCCCACAGTGAATAATCCAAATATATTAAATCGCTCGATATCAGAAGTTAGTTTAGAGGTGTATTCCGCGAAGTTATATGCTCATCGATTATTTCCTACAATTGATTCACTAAAGCGTATTAATTCAGCTCTTACATATTTATATCATGCAAATGAGTATCAAAAAAGAAGAAGAAATTGGTGTTTCAATTTTGGTATTGCTGCATCGTGATATTTAACAAATTTGAGATTAAACGAACTATCTTGTTGGAAAACATTTATCTATTACAAAGGAGGAATTCAATGAATAACTAAACTTTGTGCTAAAATACTACAGTTAGAAGTTTATCGAAATATTGAAAATAAATTGTGCAAATAAATAAAAATAAGTATCTGTTGAACATAGAATGTTCTTTCAAACAAGATCAAAAATATTCAAATTGATTGAATGGCCCAGGAGATATTAAATTTTATGACCCTTATTATGACAGATATGAGAAATGACGTAAAGCAAACCGATACGGTATTATCCAAGCTGTCTAATTATGTTAAAGTTATAGCTTATCATCTAACTTTCGGAGATAGCGGACGTTTTAGTTTTTTTTATGGTAGTTATACTTTTTAGCGGTCGAATTACGAACTTCTAAATAATTTCTAATTATTTCTCTTGCCCACTTTGCTCATAAACATTTTGTTCCCAAACCTCTAGGACTTATAATTGTCGAGATAAGACCGATCCAAAGCTTTATGAGAAAACCTGGTATAATAAGCATGGAATTTATTGCAAGAAGATTTGGATATAGAGACAAAACGCAATCTCGATTTTATGATTATGTCATGTAAAAGGATTTTGCAAATCCTTCTTTAATCCGGAGTATTACCTCTAGTGGTTCGGAATCCACTATAAACTGTAAATCCACCTGTAATGTAAAAAGCTGCCAACATTACAGGCAGAGAAGAGGCCTAAAGCGTCAACAGTGGCGCAACAAAAAGGCTGTAAGAGATGTGTCATGTAGACAAGTGTATCTTTTTCAGCATCTTTTTAGTATCAAATTTAATTCATTTCCACGCTTTTCAAATTATAAAATAATTTTCGAACTACTTTTCTCAATAAAAATACTTACTTGTTTCGTTAACACAAAATAAGCATAACAAGCCATTGCAGTTCCATAGGTAACAAAATACGTAACTGGTTCCATTATATCCCAGGAGTACTCCCACCATGTTAATCTGGCCAAAATCCCAAATTGAACAGACATCAGGCCTAATCCCGCCCATGCTAACCAATTACTTTTTCTATGTGCGACTATTTCCAATTGCGATTTAACCTACAACAAAATAATCAAGGAAAAAATGAACATCATAATTTTGAATACAACTAAAAATTTAAATCCATCTAAACCCTTAATTTATAATACATACTTAATTTTTTGTGTATTTATATTGAATCAACAATTGTAGCTACAATTCAAGACAAATTACAGCTTTATAGCCCTAATTGTGTCATCTAAAACCTGATTAAAGGCTTGTACGGGGTGTTTAAACTCCTTTGTGGGGGTTGCTTTATAGCGTCTTAAAATTACAGTTATAAAACGCAAGCTATTCTCTTCATGGTAAATGGAGAACTTTAACGTGGAAAGCGTGACATTTTGTGATAAAGCCCTTTACATTGAAATAACACTGAAAAAGGAGTGTTTTTTTTGTTTGAAAGCTCTTTGACCATTCTTTACTTTAATTAGTTGTGAAAATATATTACAAAAATATATAACAAAAAATATGTTGCAAATAACATAGCATTGTTTTATTAACCCTAGAAAGCTAAAGTATTGTAAAAATTACGAGTTCAATAAAGATATACAACAATCTGGCGTTGAATGACAAATAAAACTAGAACTAACACTAGACTTAGACTACAATCATTCGGCTTTAGCCGTTCGTCTCTCAAGGCGGATAAATTCGAATGTTTCTAGATCTAGGTTTAGTGTTCGTTCTAGTTTTAGTTCAATAACAACATACAATCTAGCACCATCTAGTGCTTACTAGCACTACTTGACACTGTCACTACAACTAACACTCGATATAAAACTAGAATCATTCGGGTTTAGCTGTTCGTCTCTCAAGACGGCTAAACCCGAATGTTTCTAGTTCTAGGTCTAGTGTTAGTTCTAGTATTAGTTCAATAACAACATACAATCTAGCACCATCTAGTGCTTACTAGCACTACTTGACATTGTCACTAGAACTAACACGCGATATAGAACTAGAATCATTCGGGTTTAGCCGTTCGCCTCTCAAGACGGCTAAACCCGAATGTTTCTAGTTCTAGGTATAGTGTTAGTTCTACTTCTAGTAATAAACTAGGGAACTTTAAAGGTGTCCAAAAGCGTCCAGAAGCTTTCTAATGGTCTCTATAGTTGTCAAATAGTGTTTAAACGCTTTCTAGACAGTTATAAAGATTTCCAAAAAAATATTAAAGATGATTTAATGATTTTTCGCTCGTCTCTCAAGGCAGCTAAACCAGAATGTTTCTAGTTCTAAGTCTAGTGTGTCAGTTTACTAAAGATATACAACAATCTGGCGCCGAATAACAAACAGAACTAGAACTAACACTAGACTTAGAACTAGAAACATTCTGATTTAGCCACACGTCTCTCAAGATGGCTAAACCCGAATAATTCTAGTTCTAGGTTTTGTGTTACTTCTAGTGATAGTGCTAGCGCAATACTAGAATTAGCACTAGACCGAGAATTAGAAACATTCGGATTTAGCCGCACGTCTCTCAAGACGGCTAAACCCGAATGTTTCTAGTTCTAGGTCTAGTGTTAGTTCTAGTTTTAGTTCAATAACAACATACAATCTAGCACCATCTAGTGCTTACTAGCACTACTTGACACTGTCACTAGAACTAACACTCGATATAGAACTAGAATCATTCGGGTTTAGCCGTTCGTCTCTCAAGACGGCTAAACCCGAATGTTTCTAGTTCTAGGTATAGTGTTAGTTCTACTTCTAGTAATAAACTAGGGGACTTTAAAGATGTCCAAAAGTGTCCAGAAGCTTTCTAATGGTCTCTATAGTTATCAAATAGTGTTTAAGCGCTTTCTAGACAGTTATAAAGATTTCCAGAAGATTTTTAAAGATGTCCAGAACCTTTTTAATGACTTTTCGCTCGTCTCTCAAGACGGCTAAACCAGAATGTTTCTAGTTCTAAGTCTAGTGTGTCAGTTTAATAAAGATATACAACAATCTGGCGCCGAATAACAAACAAAACTAGAACTAACACTAGACCTAGAACTAGAAAGTTTCGTCATCAGACGCACGGCTAAACCCGAATGTTTCTAGTTCTAGGTCTAGTGTTAGTTCTAGTTTTAGTTCAATAACAACATACAATCTAGCACCATCTAGTGCTTACTAGCACTACTTGACACTGTCACTAGAACTAACACTCGATATAGAACTAGAATCATTCGGGTTTAGCCGTTCGTCTCTCAAGACGGCTAAACCCGAATGTTTCTAGTTCTAGGTATAGTGTTAGTTCTACTTCTAGTAATAAACTAGGGGACTTTAAAGATGTCCAAAAGTGTCCAGAAGCTTTCTAATGGTCTCTATAGTGATCAAATAGTGTTTAAACGCTTTCTAGACAGTTATAAAGATTTCCAGAAGATTTTTAAAGATGTCCAGAACTTTTTTAATGATTTTTCGCTCGTCTCTCAAGGCGGATAGTGCTTACTAGCACTATTTGACACTGTCACTAGAACTAATACTCGATATAGAACTAGAATCATTCGGGTTAAGCCGTTCGTCTCTCAAGACGGCTAAACCCGAATGTTTCTAGTTCTAGGTATAGTGTTAGTTCTACTTGTAGTAATAAACTAGGGAACTTTAAAGATGTCCAAAAGTGTCCAGAAGCTTTCTAATGGTCTCTATAGTTATCAAATAGTGTTTAAACGCTTTCTAGACAGTTATAAAGATTTCCAGAAAATTTTTAAAGATGTTCAGAACCTCTTTAATGATTTTTCGCTCGTCTCTCAAGACGGCTAAACCAGAATGTTTCTAGTTCTAGGTATAATGTTAGTTCTATTTCTAGTAATAAACTAGGGGACTTTAAAGATGTCCAGAAGCTTTCTAATGGTCTCTATAGTTATCAAATGGTGTTTAAACGCTTTCTAGACAGTTATAAAGATTTCCAGAAGGTTTTTAAAGATGTCCAGAACTTTTTTAATGATTTTTCGCTCGTCTCTCAAGTCGGCTAAACCAGAATGTTTCTAGTTCTAAGTCTAGCGTGTCAGTTTAATAAAGATATGCAACAATCTGGCGCCGAATAACAAACAGAATTAGAACTAACACTAGACCTAGAACTAGAAAGTTTTGGGTTTAGCCGTACGTCTCTCAAGACGGCTAAACCCGAATGTTTCTAGTTCTAGGTATAGTGTTAGTTCTACTTCTAGTAATAAACTAGGGGACTTTAAAGATGTCCAAAAGTGTCCAGAAGCTTTCTAATAGTTTCTATAGTTATCAAATAGTACTTAAACGCTTTCTAGACAGTTATAAAGATTTCCAGAAGATTTTTAAAGATGTCCAGAACTTTTTTAATGATTTTTCGCTCGTCTCTCAAGACGGCTAAACCCGAATGTTTCTAGTTCTAGGTCTAGTGTTAGTTCTAGTTTTAGTTTAACAACGACATACAATCTAGCACCATCTAGTGCTTACTAGCACTATTTAACACTGTCACTAGAACTAACACTCGATATAGAACTAAAATAGCAAGACTAAACGGTGATCTTTGTGCGTATTGTATGGCATTCTGAACATTGTACTTATGAATGCATGTGACATTTACGTCACTGATGTGAAAAGTCAGAAACCGGTTTGAAGAAGAAAATTTGTGCTGTGTCGATTCCGTTGAGGATTTGTAAATTCCAAATTTGACCTAAACATGTTTTCAATCATTTTGACTAATTGTATTCATTAATGTTAAAATTTTTATCTAGAAGTATTTTTTTACAAAATTTTTTTTTCCAGTAGTAATTTTTTTGATAATTTAGCTTTAACGTCACATTTAAACAGTTTAGCTTTCTAGGGTTAATTTTAAAAGCTATTATTTTAGTATAAAAAGTAAAAATAAAATTGAAAACAATCTTGATAAAGTAAACCACCTTTGAAGGTATAAAAATATCATAAAAGGAACATTTTATTGGATTTTATATTTTCATATTTTTTCCTCGAGGGAAATGCTTGAATATCCTCTTGGCTTTTATGTTTACGAAAAGAGGTATGATATAAAGTGCACGGGAGATTCTTTTTATAAACTCTATTCATGTATGTTCCAACGGCGCATTTACACGTTTTGTGCTCTTATTTTTTGAATTTAAAGTTGAACTTTATTTTTTTTGAAAGTCCTCAACCGCATCCCTCATTTAACTTCCAGTTGCAAACAAAGGGTGCACAACTATCTCGTTGCTCGCTGTGTGTAAGTTGAATTAGAAACCGCGGTTTAGTTTGTACATACAACTAAAAGAAGACGAGGGTATTTTAAAGCAAACGTATTTAGCAACGGTGCGGTGAGAAGCTTTAGACTGGTTGTGGTTTTATTGTTCACAAAAAGCTGTATATCAAGGAAATGTTTAAATTGTTTTTACTTACTTCTTCTAATGGTATTAATTCTTGTTGTAACGTTTCCAATTCGGTACAAATAACTCGTTCCTTTTGGACTTGCTGCTCTTTAACATTTAGTGCCTCGTATAGTTGACCAACTAAATTTTGTACATCGCTTAATCTATAAAAACAATCTTAATAATCGATAAAACGAGTTTAAATAATAATTTACCTTTGAATTTCTTCACTAGTCACCCTTTCTTGTTTAGGACTACAAACGTTGTAGCATTTATCATTAACCACCAGTACAAAATCTTCTTGCAATAAAGTTTCTATACTAGTAGAAGCGGCTATCCTGATGTCATTATTCGTACTTTTAATAACCACCCTATCGATGCCTTTATCTTCATTTCGAAGCATCGTTAAAAAATCGCCGACTGTATGCGAAACGGGTCTTAAAGTGAATCGACATTTTTCTTTCCGACTTGGTAACGGCACAGTGATTTGCGGCAATCCTCTGCAGTATTCGATCGATACCTCTGCAAGATTAAAAAAGAGGAAATAAGAAAACCAAAAAAGCCCAAATAGATAAAAAAAATAGGGTAAATTGAAAACGACGTGGTTAAGTCTAGGTAGTTGCGGGAAAGGAAAGGAATATTGGGGGAAGGTTGGATTTTCGGACGAGATTAAATGGGGAAGTTTGGAAATCTCTCGATTGGTGCGGTTGCAACAAGTTTCTTAGATGCAACAGGAAGGCTATTACTGAAGCGTAACGTTGTGCATTTTGAAATCAAGGGGATTACATTTGCGTGACTGCAGGGGGTTGTGGTTTCGCGTTTAATCTTACTTGTTATAATATCGATTAGATTAGATGGCAGTTAGAATTTGGAGTTCTAGAACATTGCTATAATTATGATAGTTTGAGGAAGTTTTGGTTTAACACTAAGTTAATGAACTAATTTTATAACCTGGTTAATTTATAGTTAAAAAACAAAATAAAAAAAATTTTAAACTACTAAATATAAAGGGTAAAAATATTGGGTTTTACCTTTCGAGTGGATAATAAGCTGGGGGATCATATTAAGCAGAGAGTTAGAAAGGCAAGTAATTATTGGGGAAGATTATTACAAAATTTAACAATTCAACAATTTTAGATTTTACAAAACTGTCTAAATTTATCGAAAATTCTAACACCTAGATTGAAGTTCTAACATTGTTTCACAATTTTAGATAATTTTATGCATATTTTGATAATTTTCGACATGTTTTGACTACTTTAGGCAACTTTGAATAATTTTAGACAACACCAGAAAAATATTGATAATTTTCTGCAAGCTTAGACCAATCATTTTAGATAATATTGCACATGCTTAGACAAGTTTAAATAATTATAGGCAAATTTTGCGCTTTTAAACAAGTTCGGGCAAGTTTAGATAATTTAAGACAATTTTGTAAAATTTTCCCAAATATAGATAATGTGAAACATAAACGTGAAAAAATGGTCTAGTCTATAATGATCAAACTGTATCTAAAACTGTGTAAAATTGTTTAAAATCGCAAAATTTGTTCAAGTTCAACAAAATTTTTACAAAATTGTCTAAAATGATTCAAATTGTCTAAAATTAAAAACTAGAAGTAACATTAGTCCTAACACTAGAACTAACACTAAACCTAAAACTAGAAGCTTTCGTGTTTAGCTACGTATCTTTTGAAAAAGCGTTGACTTTTCTAACACTTTTAACTTATTTTTGAAGAAGGTTGCAACATGGCATCCGAAATGTCAAATGCTTTTTCACAAGTCGAAAGTTTCTAGTTCTAGGTTTAGGGTTAGTACTTGCGATAGCTCTAATGTTACTTCTAGTTTTTCAAGTCACAGAATAACTAAAAAGGACGCTGGAGGTATCCCGCCAAAACTCTATCTGTGACGTCATGTTTTAGAGGGTACACCTTGCTGTTATTGGTGTGCCTTTGGTTTCCACAACGATCTGGCAACGTTGCTGGCTTCGCTTCTCTCGAGAGATCGCCAGATTGTTATGTAATCCTCTTGAAAATGACGGAATTTAAATCGAGGTCAAAAAAATGCGAATCCTCGAACATCAAAGGAACGTCAATATCATTTCTGGTTATTCTGTTGTGGTTTAGTTGTCCAAAATTGCCTAATATGGTCAAAATGTGGCTAAAACAGTTTTGGAGAAATTTAGATCATTTTAGCCACATTTTGATCATTTTAGTCAATTTTTTACAAACTGGTTAGACAAATTTAAGTAATTTTCGACACATTATGATCATTTTAGTCAATTTTGTAGACTTTAAATAATTTTAGACTCAGTCTGATCATTTTGGACAATTTTAGACCTTGAGGTCAAACAGCTGGACACTTAATGACATCAAGATCGTAAGAGATTTAACTTCCAGTCATTCCAAAGTTTGAATTTCCTGTCAATGCAGATACACTATATTACTGCTGTCATTTCTCACTAAATTATGTATCCTTGAGAGAGACGCCCACTGCTTGATGTTGTACAACACAACATTACAGCGTATTGAGCGAATCGTGTGTTTCATTGCAGCCGCCAATCGTTTTTCTGTGAATGTGTGTTTCCATTCATGCTGATTTCTGATGGTGGAGGAGATACAGGAGAGATATTGGAGGTGGGTCTTGGGGTTATGCAGGGAGACTTCGGGATATATAATGAGAGAGGAGTAAAAGCTGGAAAAAATCAAAGTGGAAGTAAGCAAGAGGGCGATAAAGTACGAGGATAGGCTGGAGCAGAGGAGCAACTTTAAGATTTTGGAAGAGTGTTGAAGGGGGGTTAAGACTGGAGTGGGGAAGTATGGACAACAAGAAAAAAGGAAATATTATATCAGAGTAGGGTACTCAATAGAGGAAATACAAAGAAGGAGGAAGACAGAGATGTGGAAAAGCTGGAAGAGGGTATGCTTAGGTAGAACATGGCAGAAATTCCGGGGTATTTGACGGAGGACAGAAGTATGATTATTAGATGAGGGATGAGGAGAGGATGTGTAGATTGTGTGGGGTTGATTGACAGACAATTAATCATATTATGCTGAGGTGTAACGATTTAAGGAATGGAGATATGGGGTGTTTGTCATTGTTTACAGGAAGTAACAAAAAAGATATTATACAGGCTGTACAAAAAGTATGGAATAATGGTTCTACAGCCCAAACTTCAATTTATATTAAAAAAAGTTTTAAATAAAAGTTACTTGAAATTATTTTCCGCGTATCATGGCGTAGAAATAAAATAAAAATGATGACGGCAGTCTGAGTTACGACATAAGCTCCACCTATCCCTGTAACGTCAAGGCTTAGGTTGTCTATTCCATAATGGCGCCATAATTTGGTTGTCGCTACGTCAAATCTTTTTAAATAAAAGTTTCAATATCTCGAAAACTATGCAGTTTAAAGCATTAAAACCTTATGGCATTTTGCAACAACTTGTCAAAAGGAATTCAAAAACCTTAAAATATAGAGGCTGTTCCATTTAAACAACACACTCACCATGTTGTAACTCAGACTGCTGTCAAGATTTTTATTTTATTTCTACGCCAAGATGTGCGGAAAATAACTTCAAGTAACTTTTATTTAAAACCTTTTTTTATATAAGTTGAAGTTTAGGCTGAAGAACCATTATTCCATACTTTTTGTACATCCTGTATAACTCCCAAACACATCCAATTCAACTATGAATTTTACATTTTCTATGAATGTCTAAACCCCATATTTTAGCGTATAAAGCTTTAGAAATCAAGAACTTAATCTCGCGACAAATTCCAACCGAACACAACATTCCTCCACAATATTCATTCATTCATTCTCAACTAGAATTGCACCGAGTTTACATGGAATCGTGTCTTTGTTTTCATAACGTTTTATTCCATCCTATTTGCATTCGTCTGTTGTTTTCTACTCGACAATTTCCATCTTCGCAATTTTCACCCGACAGTTTCGGAACCAGAAAAGTTTCCGTTTATTTCACTTTAACAGCAGGTGGCGCCCGTAAAAACAAGATGCATCGCGCGTCGTTGAAAATTTAAACCCACCACGAGCTAATCCTATGAAAACCCCGCCACCTTTGTGTTTTATAGCCCTCAATTCCCTTTTGTTTTATATCTTATTCTCCCTCTTTTTGAGCTTATTCTTGAGCTTCCTCTTTTTGAGTAGAGTAAAAAGAAAATGTTGCTTTTAACGACCCATAATCTATAATGCTTGGGATAATCCGGATGTAGTCGGGGAGGACCGACTATTTTGCGAGATCATCGTCGGAAAATTGGATGGATTCGCCAACGGGTAAATAAAATTGGGAGGAAGGTACTGAAGGTTGAAAGAGGACAAGAAATAACAATGGACAATTTAATTTCCTGGAGCTAGGGCAATTAGTCTTGCAAATTATTTGGAATTGGCCTCTGAGTTTTCTATTATTTAATTTTAACTCTTTAGAAGTCGAGGAAGTTCTTTGTAAGAAAATAATTTTGAGTCACGTCATAGCAATGTGTAGTGGAGTTGAGAGAATTGGAGTGAAACGTTAGAATTGGGTCGTTTCGTATAATATGATGTGGTAATTATTTTTCTTCTTTTTGATAAAATATAAAAAAATAACATACAAATTTAATTATGAAAAATTTAAATTGTTCTAAAGATTTTATAGAATTAATTTTGTTTTATAATTCAAAACATTTAACGATGATATTAATATATATCTTGTGTTCCATTTCTGAGGGAATTAACAAAGCATAACACTTTATTCTTCTCGGTTACTTAAACAATATAAAATTTAAATCAAAATAATTTAATGTGATGCAAAAAGTAATAACAGTATTTTATATTACCGTAATATGTTCAAATGAAACACTCAATAATAACGAGACCGAGATTACATAACCAAAACGAAAGGCCCGATAAATTTTAACAATGACTACTTTTAACTAGAATCCAATTTCGTAATTATAATTTTAATGTAATCCAATTAAGGTTTCGCGTAACTGATATAAATTTAATTTCGACGTATTTCTAGGGTGATTAATACTTATTATCAGTATCTAAGATCGCATAATTCTATTTAAATTAAGTTTCTTGAGATAAGTTAATGACTAAAGGAAATTTGACATCATGGTTTGATAAATTATGTCCATTTTACATCATATTAATGAATTTTGTTTGTATTATGGAAATTTGTACACATTTATTTGTGTACAATTTGTTTAAAGTCATTATGGCTGGGTAATTACCGAAAATCATCTGATTTATGATAAATAATCATAGAATATTTACTAAAATTAAATAGCGTATAAAAAAATAGATTTAACACCAACGTGAATTAATGGTGGTATATCCAACAAGATTTATTGCGAAATGTCAGTGAATTTGTAACAAAATATGCAGATATATTTGGAGATTTGCGGTGTTTGCTATTTACAGTTCAACTCTATTTATAACTCAAAAAATTTAAATAATTGCTTATTTTGCGTTAAATTTTCTATTTGCCATACTTGTTATTATCCGCATATTTGCGACCTT